AAATAGTATTATGACATTATATGCATTCCATAAATAGAGTTGAAGTCAAAATTATTAGCTCTTCTGTTTTTTTTTTCTTGTTTTTTTTTTTTTTAATATTTCCCAAATTATGTTTAAAAGAGGAAGGAAATTTTCACAGTATTTCCTATAATATGTTTTCATCTGGAGAAAGTCTTTTTGTTTATTTCGGCTAGAATAAAAGCAGCTTTTCATTAAAAAACAACATTTTAAGGACAATTTTATAAGTCCTCTTAAGCTATATTTTTTCTACTGTCTACAGAACAAACCATTGTTATACAATGAGTGGCCTAAATATCCTAACTTGCCTAATTAACCTAGTTAAGCTTTTAAATGTCACTTTAAGCTGAATGCTAGTGTCTTGAAAAATATCTAGTAAAATATTATTTACTGTCATCATTACAAAGATAAAATAAATCAGTTATTAGAAATGAGTTATTAAAACTATTACGTTTAAAATGTGTTGAAAAAAAAATCTTCTTTCCGTTAAACACAAATTGGGAAAAGAAAATGTACAGAGGGGGCTAATAATTCTGACTTTCAACTTTATATAAGTGTGCATCTGCACGTGTGTGTGGGAAGCAATAAAATCAGACCTTTGTCACTGAAGTCCATACCAGCCTTCAGCCCAGGAGGAACTGTCATCAAATCTAAGACATGGAACAAATTGTTGCGGCATTTTTTTCTCTCACAAACATTCACAAATTACTGCCTACTGACAAAAACAAGACAGACTAATATTTTCTCTTTTATATGTCCTAGTTATTTTTTCTTCTATTCTTCTACATGCATTTACAACCATCAAGGTAGCTAGAAGGTAATGGACTTACATGAAACAAAAACAGACAACCAACCTTTCTCAAAGTCAATGTCTTCTTCCAGCTCTGACTTGTTTTTGATCTGCTCTAAAGTCAGTTCTTCCATTCCAGCTGGGAATACAAAGAAGAGCTGAATTTTAAAAAGTATATCATTTAGAAATTAATTTTTACAAAAAACATTCGAATGCAAAGTACTGTACCTGGCAGAAATGGATAGTTTGTGTTGCTCCCTCGCAGACTCTCTGACGGAGGTCCAGGCTGTCTTTGTAACGAGAGTGAATTTTTTGCAGACAAACCTGTGTCCTCTAACAACACCTGGCATAAAGGGAAAAAACAACAACAATATTGAACACATGATTAAAAAAAATACAATATTGACCCTTTGACTGCCCCTTTACCGAACGGTTGACCATGTTTTTATTGTTTTAAATAATGACTGTTAAAGTCATTGTTGGTTTACAAAACAAAAAATAAAACAAACATAATCTTGTTGCACTACTACACTTGATTTTGGTTTATTTAAAAAAAACCAAACAAACAAACAAGAAAGCATATTAAATAAGAATCTGAAATATTTTATCGCATACTTCAAAAAATAAAGGTGATTTAGTATTCAAAAATGTTTTATTTTGAATTTTTTTTACACTTTAAAAGCGAGTTTAAAAGCACATGCAACTTCAGAGAACAGTCCTGGCAGAGAACTAAAAGCTAAATAAGGATTGCTTCCAAACCGCTTTCAGCTTACTTTTTTCCCATGGAAATCACCCTATACAGTGTCAGTTTAGCATTATTCATATACTATTATTTGATTCATATAAATTTTGAATATTTTTAAGCTTTGTCATTTATTTTTTAATTAGCATTTTTATAAATCCATTTAGTATTAATTTAATTTTTTTTTTTTTTTAGGTCAAGTTACCTACCAAAGAAACTCTTATTTATTTATTTATTTATTTATTTTTTGCTTTAGATGTTTTTTCAATAGATTAAAATAATTTTTACAGCTTTATAATTGCCAACAGGAACAGAACAATGTCTGAATAATAACAAGGGTAGGCAAATAAATGCAAAGAAGCAGATGTAGAATGTATTTCAATGTTTTCCAATGTTACCTCAGTGAAATCCAGCAGCATGCCGGTGGTTGGATCTCTGACCACAGACAGACCAGAATGCAGTTGAGACAGAGAGCAGTGCAGGAGAGAGTCCACTTCTTTTTCTCTCTTACTTATCCTGAGGAATAAATTCATCATAGACCAAACCAATTAAAGATGTGATCATATTTATATACATAACAAAGACAAGCACCATCTTCTGAATTATGTCTGATTTCATACTTAAGGAACTTGTTGAAGGCATCATCTACATCATGTACCGGGAGCCAAGCAGGATCTCGCAGAAAACGCTTTTCTACCTCTGTCTTTAAATCCAGACAAGTAGGAGGCAGTCCATGTGGGAGCTTATGAAAACAGAGAATATTTGTGTAAAACCTAGGAAAAGGTGATTCACATATTGATGTCTGCAACTAATTAAATTTACAAAAGTGATTTTATCTACACAGGTAATAACTAAAAAACAGTATGAGAGATGCTTTCGACAGAGAGTTTGAAGAGGTCAAGAACGACGTACTGAATTGGGTCAAAAAGGCTGAAAGTCTCGGAGCGTTATCTTCAGAGGAGAATATTCTTAGCCAGCTAGGAGCTATGGCCTTGCAGGACAAGACCCCTGGAAGACTGCCCAAATGCTGATATAATAGAAGAAATGCTTTGCTATATTTTGATTCAAGTGTATCACCCTAGGGAATAATTACTAAGCTCCAGAGAACAAAAATGGATTTCTTCTATGTATTAACAGATATCCTCAAACATATCAAACATTGATAGCTTAAAACAAAGGTGCGCACACAACAACAAGGGCTGGAGCATACAAACCAGCAGCCTGCTTAAACTGACCTCCGTACACTGAAGGTCTTTGGCCCTTTATTCTCAATTGAGGATAAAGTAAAGGATTTTTGTTTTGTTCTGCTATTTGTTTTATTCTTCTTTTTCACTCAATTTATTTATTTAATAAAAGTGAGTGGACATTAGCTTCATCCGCTGAACCCATCAAGATACCTTGTGTGGTAATATATAAATCAAAACAAAACTCTAGCTAAGAAATATAGCCAAGAGAGGATTCTGGTTTCTTCGTTTAATTAGGGTATTAAATAAAAGCATCCAGCACAAATTCTGAGTGTGCCTCACACAGGTGAGTGGGCTTGACAAACCACCTGTAGAAACACTCTTCTCTATCTCACTCTCTCTCTCTCTCTCTCTCTAAAAATACCCCTCTTCCTTACTCTTCTTCTTTGTATAATTTGCACTTCTTGTGTGTATTGCTTAATGCATCCTAAAAGCGTCTGCTAAATGACTAAATGTATATGTATTCTGACCTGCATTAAATAAAATGCTATTACATTTTAAATTATAAAAATTATCTGGGTAAAACCATATGGTTTGAAGTGAAATGAAAAACTTTACAGATTAAAAATAACAATTAATTTGCATTTTGGAGCTGCTCTATAATACTTTAATAAAGTCTTTTAATATGTCATCAAATGACTCTTGTTCTAACATTTAATATAAAGTTTACTACTGTTACACTAAATGACATTTTAAAGCTTATCTTCTGTAAATAATGGTAAAAATACACAACAGTAATTGATTTTGCCCAGCAAAAAATTTTATCAAACAGGACACATTATATTGTACCCTATATTTGACAAGTAAATGAAGAGTTTAAATACAAAAACCTCTAAATGCTGTTAGATATTTTATTCTAAAATTAGTATTTTTCTAATTTTATGTGTATGCTCAGTAATGTTACTGTTATAGTGACTTTTCATTGACCTTAAAGTGAAATAATAGAATATAAACATAGGAGGCTGAGGAAAAAAAAAATAATTTTAGGAAAGACTTCAGACAGTATTTAGAGATTTTTGCATCTGAACTCCCAATATTATTACATGTCTGCTTTTTAAGGCGGGAAAACCCCTATTTCACAGATATTTATTAGAAAACACAAATTATTATTATTAGTAGTATTTTTATTATTAATAAATAACTTACAGTGCTGTGCGGAGGCAGGGGTTTGTTTTTGGGCAGTGTGTGTGTGATGAGCTCAAATCTCCCAGAACAGCCCATCTCCAGCAGAGACAGGGGCAAGTCATCAGGACCCACTGGGGGCAAATCTACAGACAGAGAATATACAGTGGTTTATCAAATACAAGAATAAATCTGGCAAATTAAAGATCAAGAATAATCCGAAGGAAATAAATAATAAATACACTGAAAGCATGAACTGAGTTGTTTCGGTGACTCAGTTTGATAATGCAACTTCATACGCACATTCATTACCTTTTAATTCATTTTATACAATATTAGACTAAGGTTTAAAAACTTCCTGACCGTATATTTTTTAAAAGTGACACTCTTTCTTATTATTTTCATCTTGATTTCTGTGCAAATGTTCACAGATTCTTAAATCAAGACACTTTTACTTGAGAATTTCTTAGAAAGATCTTGTTTCTTTAATTAAAAAAACGAAACAAATATATCATTTACAGAAACTTGTTCTTGCATAAACCCCAATTAAGTTTTGATTTTTCATTTTAAGTAAACATTCTTTGATTAACAATGTTAGCAGTTTCGATTTTTGTTTTAGAAAAGCAAAATACAGAAGAGAGAGAGGATACTATACTGTTTTCCAGAGTGTTAAACACATTTCAGACTTCAGAAATTAAAGTTGTGCCTTTCTACATAAAAGTCTGGACATTTAAACTTGTAAAGAGCTAATTAAAACTTTTTAAGACCCGCAGAAGACCTGTCAAGATGCTCATAAACTCATTTCATTACTGTCAGGAGTTTGGTTATCAATGTAGCTGCAGAGCTGGCTGTCACGTGAGCGACTTATGATTCATAGCAAGTAAATACTGAGCTGGCCCCATATATTATTACTCCGTGAAAGTCAAACACTTGAAACTGCAGATCTTTGATGAAACAGTAATAATATATTTTCCATACCTATTTTGTCCATGTCACTCAGCAGTTCTCCAGTTTCAATAAAGTTTCAGGCAGTCCTACAGGAAGCTGCGCAGAAGTAATGGGACGGAAGTATATGCATTTTATTTTATTTTGTGCTTTATAATTTAACGATCTACGTGTGTGATCTAAATCACACTAAAGTATTGGTGCACTTTAAATAATAGATACTTTAAAATTATCTCAGTATGGACAAACGATTAATTTGACCTCCTTTCTCGGATGACAACAGATTACGTCATATTTACGCGCCAGGTGAGGATTTACTGCAGACGCTCATCGCATAAAATTTATTCTTTGAATTTAGGGTAAATGCGTGTATTTTGCTGTATGTTATGCAACTTACGATTAAATATATATGTTTGTGAAAAACACGATGCTATCTTGAGACTGAAAACAAAATACTTATGCTTGCTAAACATATTGCTGTTGTTTTTCTCCTTAAGGTCCAGCAAAATGGCAATATTTCCCAGTTCATTAACAGAAGACGAAGAAGCGCTGCAAAAGAAGTATGCTAAACTGAAGAAAAAGGTAAAGACGATTGTTACTTTTCTCAATATATATATACATGTACTTTCTAATCTTTAATATGTACTCGAAATCAAAATACAATTAGTTAAGTTAATTAAGTGCCTGCTCTACCAAATGGTTGACCATATTTTGATGTTTGATGTTTTGAATAATGGTTTAAACACACAGCATTGTTGGTTTACAAAAAAATAAAAAATAAAATAATAATTCAAGCAGGAATAATCCTGTTGCACTACTACACTTGATTTTGGTTTTGTTGTTAAACAAACAAATAAATAAGAAAGCGTGTTAAATCAGAATCTAAAATATTTTATGGCATACTTCAAAAATTTAAGATTATTTGGTATTCAAAAATGTTTTATTTTCGTTTCGTTATATCATGTTTTTAAATAAATTAGACTTGCACTTCATTTTTCAGATTTTTCATAGTATATGTATTAATTTAGGGACTTTTACCATAAACCGACATATCAACCATTTGGTAGAAGTTGATATTTTGGAAATTATGGAATGTGTTGAAAAAAAATGTATCGAGTGTGTTAACTAGCAACATTAGAAGTTAAGAAATGCACACCAAATATTTTTTTCTTGGTGGGGCAGTTGAAGGATATAGTATATTTACAAAGTTTGGAATAGTTAAAAAGTGTCAAAGCAGCTTCTTAATAATGATGTAAAATAAAGCAGTGTTAATATTTCAGACATAATAAATTAGGACATGCTTCACTATTATTCCTGTACGGATAATAGTGTCATTATTTAACTAGTCAATGTCATTAAATAAATATTAATTATTATATTAGAATACATAGGATTATATTTTTTAAAGCTTAAAAATGTAATTAAAAATTGGTAAAAGTGATTTGAAGGGCAGTGGCAAAGTATAAAGATTTAAAATAAACCACCATTATGGGTGTGACATTTGCTGTGAAAATTCAAAACATAAATTCACAGAGAAAGTATATGTTAACATTATATTGAAACATTGATTTATATTTTACCAAACAACTAACCACAGAGTTATGGGATCAGAGAAATATCAATCTGTAAATATTTTTTACATTTTAAATGAGGAAAATAAACATGCGTTATGGATGTAACAAAAAAGTTAGCAGGTTTACAGTTTACGACATAGTTTGTAGAAATTCTGTGAATTAAACTGCACAACTCAAAAGAAACAATGCTAATCAAAAGGATATTTTGTTTAACATTTTTGCATTTATGAGAAAAAAGCTTTGTTATGGACGTGACAGATGTGAAATTGACACTTGTGTGATTGGTAAATCAAATGTAATTGTTTGAGAACATTGGTAGAAACATTTTTGAGTATTTTTAAAGTACTGTAAAATACTTGCTTACACAAAAAACATAGAAACGGTTTTGTTATTTTGTTAAAACTTCCTTTTTTCCATGGCAAGGTTGACATTTTCATGGAATTGCTCAATAACAATTATTGTTTGGGTGCACTGTGATCCTTAAAGTCTTATGATGTATAAACTATTGTTTCATTATGACATTTAAAAAGAGGGGGTCTTCTGTAAATCATATCATAATGTAAAACAGAAACAACCAATAAACAGGACACGTTCTAATGGATCAAAAAAATCTCTTTTAATCTTTGCCCCATAAAGGCAAAAATTTAATGTAAACAATCCATATGATATGTATTATTTTCTCCATTCTCTCCTGTCATGTAGAAGAAGGCCCTAATGGCTTTGAAGAAACAGAGCTCCACCAATCAGACGAGTCAGACTGGACTGAAACGCAGTAAGTTGATCCGTAGGTCTCAGATCTTTCCTGGTATTCTTGAAATAAATTAGCATTACATCAGTACAATATTAACAAATCTCTGTCTTTTTCAACATCTTAATTAAGCTTTGTCAGATCAGCCGGTGGTGGACACAGCGACAGCCACAGAGCAGGCCAAAATGCTAATCAAATCTGGGGCAATCAGTGCCATCAAATCAGAAAACAAGAACTCGGGGTTCAAGCGCTCCAGAATGCTTGAGGGTAAACTGAAAGTAAGAGACTTCCTACCTCATGAAAAGCCAAGTTATTTTTTTTGTTGTTGGTATTTTTCATACAAAGATGCATTTCTTTTGCTTCCAAGGATCCTGAGAAAGGTCCTGCCCCGGCATTCCTGCCATTTCAGAGGAGCGTGTCCACAGATGAGGAGCCTCCTGATGTAAAGTTGTTTCTAAATATTTATTATATGTATGCACACATTATTATGTATATTATCAGTAGTTTAAAGAAACACTCCACTTTTTTTTAAACATACTCACATTTAAACAGTTGGCATTTTTGAATCCATTCAGCTCATTTCTTGTTCTAACGGTATCAGTATTGGCTTAGCTTAGCATAATTAATTCAATCACATTTGTCCATTAGCATTTTGTAAAAAAAAAAATAAATAAATAAAAAATAATTTTCCTTCTTAATGCTCGAGTCCTCTGTAGTTGCATCATTTACGGAAATTGACGGAAAATAAAAAAGCATTTTTATAGGTCAAAGTTACTAAGTTAAAGTGGTTAAAGTAACTGTACTCTTGTTTTGATGTTATAGTTTAACTGTTCTGCAGTAAACCTGCATTGGCGGAGTGATATTATGCAGCGCATGAGAATCGGTTACCTTGAAACCATGGATACGCGAGAGATGCACTTTCGATCAGATAACACAGATTTTGTATGATTTGGTGTACTCAACCAACAAACCTACCTTTTCAATTAATTGAATTACAGTTAATAGGCCTTATAAACAAATCATTTCACAATTCAATCAATTATGCTAAGCAAATAGTGACCCTGCTAGAACAAGAAATCGGCTGAATGGATTCAAAAATGGTTCACGTCAACTGTTTAACTCTAGAAGACTTGTAAAATGTTAAAGTGGAGTGTTCCTTTAATACTGAATGAAACACTGACATGTTTTCTCCTTGAATACGGTTGAAACCAGAAGTTTACATACACTGTATAAAAAGGCACATGACCATTCAAAAAAAAAAAGTCAGATGTTAATTTGGCTAAACGTTTTCTCTTTTAGGTAAAAGAAATCAAATTTGTTTTTGTTATTCTTAATGGCAGAATAATGAGAGAAATATTTTTTGATAAATTGATACAACTTTTCTTGAAAGTCAAGTTTACATACAATAAGATTATTATGCCTCTGAAAAAGCTCAGACGATGGCGTCAAGGTTTTGGAAAATTCTGATTGGCTAATTGACAACATTTGAGTTAATTGGAGGCACAACTGTAGAAAAGTATTTAAGGAAAACCTCAAACACATTGCTTCCTTGTTTGACAGCATGGAATAATCAACATGCCAGAATCAACAAATAAGCCAGATTACAATTTGCTAAATTATTATTACATTTTTGGAGACATGTCCTGTGGTCTGATGGAACTAAGATTGAACTGTTTGGTCATAATGACCAGTGTTACATTTGGGGGACAAAGGGGAAAGCTTACAAGCCTAGGAACACCTTCCCAACTGTGAAGTATGGGGGCGGCAGCATCATGTTGTGGGGCTGTTTTGCTGCAGGAGGGACTGGTCCACTTCACAGCATAGATGGCATCATAAACAAAGAACATTATGTAGAAATACTGAAGCAACATCTTAAGACATCAACCAGGAAATTAAAACTTGGCCACAAATGGGTTTTCCAAACAGATCATGACCCTAATCATACTGCCAAATTAGTTAAAATGTGCTTTAAGGACAAGAGTGAATGTTTTGGAGTGGCCATCACAAAGCCCTGACTCAATCCTATAGAAAATTTTTGGGCAGAGTTGAAAAAGCTTGTGCGAGCAAGACAGCCAACAAATCTGACTTGGTTACACCTATTCTGTCAGGAGGAATGGGCCAAAATTCCTTCAAACTATTTTGAGAAGTGTATAAGGATACCCAAAACATTTGACCAAAGTTATACTGTTTAAAAGCAAAGCTAAAAAATACCAAGGAAATGTATGTAAACTTTTGACTGTCTAGAAATTAATAAAAAAATCTAAAACAAAAAAATTCTCTCATTGTTCTGACATTTAGTAAATGTAAATCATTTAGGTAATCCTAATGGACCTAAAATAGTAAACGTTTAGTATATTTACCATCAGACATTATTTTAAAAAAAAAGGTTATGTTCCTTTTTAGAATATATGTAAACTTCTGGTTTCAACTGTATATTGCATTTAATATATTTTAAAACTTCAGTGTCATGTGATCCTTCAGAAATCCTTCTAATAGGTCTATTTTTATGTAATATTATTTCATAACATTATAGTTTTTACAGTTTGTTATGGTCTTGTTGAGCTTGTTTCCAAAACATAAAAAAATATTATATACATGTATATGTATGCAAATATGTCTACATATGTGCTAAACTAAATATCAATGAAGAAGTCTTTGAAAATATTGAATGGATGTAGTGTCTGTAGACTTGACATGTTTCTCTCTTTGTAGTCCGCTAAACGAATCCACAGGAAATCCCTTTACGAGAGGTGAGACTTAAAATAATACTAATAATTAAACATCTTTATTAAAACAGTGTTGTGGTCAATATTAAAGCTGTTTTTTTAATGATCTCATAGTTTTGTTCCTGGAGATCGATCTCGTGATGAAGAGGCAGGAATGCCAAGTCGAGATTCTGAGCGTGACCGGGAAAGGGAGATGGACTGGGAGAGAGATCGAGAAAGAGACAGAGACAGAGAAAGGGACCGTGAAAGAGGTCGAGAGAGAGAACGGGACCGGGAACGGGAACGAGACAGGAGCCGGGATGGAGAAAGAGATCGAGAGAGGGACCGGGATCGAGACAGAGAACGAGACAGAGAGAGAGATGGACCCTACAGACGTAAGGCAATCTGCGCAATTACAAATGTTCATTCAAAATAATATTAACCCATTCAGTGTTCATATTGTGTCTTTACAATAATAGTAAACCGTAAATCATGCATTTGGCTTTTTTTAAACTTGTTCTGTTGAAAATCTGTTCAGGGTCAGACTCGTATCCAGAGCGCAGAGGTGTGCGCAAAGGAAACACAGTGTATGTGTACGGCACCGGTTTAGTGGAGGACAGCTTGCGCACAGCCTTTGCTCAGCACGGCAACATCATTGACCTTTCAATGGACTCTCCACGCAAGTAAGATTATTTTCTTAAAATGCTGGGCATCTGGAAAGAGACAAACTGATTTCTTAACTGTCTATAGTAAAGTTTAGAAGATTGATTGGTTATGAGTTCCGTTGTAGTCTAAGCATTAGGAAAGTTATTAGAAGTTGAAATGGGGTCATTTTTCAAGTATTTAGGTATGCTACCGTTCACAAGTTTGGGGTTGGTAAAATCTTAAGGTGCTGAATAGTTCTACTATTATTATTCTTCCTGAAATGAAGTCTATGGCAGCACATTGAATTGAACATCTGACAACATTGGGGTCTCTAAGATTAACTCTATAGTGCCACCACTAAAATATTACAATAGTTATTCTGTTTATATTTTCTTAAATTCACCTTTCAGAACTACTTTTAAATACTGTGCTACCTACATGAGAGCTGAAAAATGACTATTCAACAGCTTGTCAGAAAATAAAGGCCAATTTTGACATTGTATTATCTTTTAAACAATAAATATCTTTAAGCTGACAAATTGGCACAACAATTGATCTTGAATGCAATACTTAATGAATTTCAAGTATAGTGCCACCTAGATTTGCAGAGATTTTTTAGCAAAGATGTCGATTTTAACTTTGGAAAACATTGTCCAAGATTAGTTGTACTATTCCATTCCTTGTTTTAATAGGGTTCTGATTTGGGATATTGGATATTTACCTCCTTTTTCAAAAATGTCTTTCTTACTTGGATTACAATCAAACAGGTTTGGGACTAGTGAAGGGAAATAAAGTGATGAGAGAATTTCCATTTATGGGTGAACCGTCCTTTTGTCAAACTTGTTAATATAATAATATTTTTAAAAAACCCTACAGACCCCAGTCTTTTAAAAAAGCAGTGCATGTCTGAGAGAAGCCACAATATTGAACTAATAATTTTTGCCTTCATTCTTTTGCCAGTTGCGCTTTTGTCACCTTTGAGAAGATCGAATCAGCAGACCAGGCTGTGGCGGAGGTCAGTAGTCCACTTTCAGCAGCATCATACTTTTATACTTTAAAGGGCACCTATTTTACCCCTTTTTCAAGAGAAGTCTTTTGTGTCTCCAGAATGTGTCTGTAAAGTTTCTACTCAAAACACCCATCAGGTTATTTATTATATCTTTTTAAATCTGGGAAATTTGAGCTGTTAGGACATTGTAGCTGTTTTTGTTTTGTAGCCTGTCCCTTTATTGCAACTGAGCTAGTTCTCCTCAACTACTGTTACCACGTGCGTGTGCAGGAATAATACCATGGGAGTAGCATTTACCTGCTGCGTCTCACTTAGATAAACAGCACAGTGACAGACAAGAATGAAGCAGATCTCTCTTACTACAGTAAGAACTTTTCCAATGGTTATTTGATGAATTTGTTGTGGAGTTAATTCAAGCCTTTCTGCAACGATGAGTCACACACAATGTCGTTATGAAGTTAACACACACACACACACACACACACACACGCGATTGCTGAGACTTATTTTAGTATGTTGATGTATTTCCATACCCGGTAGGCTTCTTACTGCCACCCGCAAGTTTGTACACGTTATTCCTATCCTGTGCTCCCTAAATTCGTTGCCGATATGCTTTAGAATGGAGTTTAAAAATGTAATATATGATTTTTAGGTTATTAAATGGCCAGCCTCCGACTTATCTCTCTAATCCTAATACTGTTCAAATATCTGGCAGATGTTTAAGGTCCAGAAAATGCTAGTCGCTCCCAGATCCAAATAGATGAAAAAAGGAGATTAAGCTTTCTCTGTAGTAGGTGGGAGAAAATTGATCCTCTTGTACCTATCTGGGGCCGAAATGTACCTATCTGCACGAAGACTTGCGTTGAATTCATACTAAAACATTGCGTACGCACAAAGCTGTAAATGTGTGTACGCAGTAAAAAATTCAGATGTATGAAACAGTGCGTACGCGGAATCCCACGCATATTCTCTTTGTACATCTGAATTAACGTGAAACTGAGCACACATGCACGAACACAAAACCCCTCCCTGCCTCCTCCCCCTAATGAATATGGTAATGACTCTACTTTGGCAAAACCAAACAAAAAAGCAATGGCAAAAGCAAGCAAAAAGAGAACCTTTGAACAGAATGTGAATTGGAGGTGCTTATTTCATCATTAGTAAATCCAAACGTAAGAGTGAAATCTGGCGTATGCAGTTTTTGTGCGAACGCAGCATTGATACATGAGGCCCCTGGTGTCTTCTTTATCGCTGATACTTTGTGGTATGTTGGATGTATTTTATCTGTTGGTCTATTTTTGATAATTTGCTTTTAGGATTGTACAACACAATGGTCAGCAACTGTTGTTTTATTGCACTTTCTAAATAAATAAACTAAACTAGAATAACAATGTATGCTAGCAAAATAGATATGATAAGCTTAGAAATGATTAGGGGTTAAGTGTGTGTGAATAATCATAGGTTGTAGTATCTTTCTTCGTTTGCTGAATGAAAACTCTTTCTGTCTGTCAGCTGAATGGCACCACTGTGGGTGACGTCAACATCAAAGTCAGCATTGCCAGGAAGCAGCCCATGCTGGATGCCGCCACAGGGAAATCTGTCTGGGCTTCTCTTGGTAAATAAGGACATTTCACAGGCGAAAACTGCCAGAGTGTTGCACACTTGACTAACCCTTTTCTATTTCTGTCTCCTTCTACTATCTCCTCCTTATTTATCCTTCACAGCGGTGCAGAACAGTGCCAAGGGCTCGTACAGAGACAAACGGAGCCAGGTCGTCTACAGTGAAGATTTCCTTTAGTTACTTGACATTTGCTTTTGTTTTAAAACGTCGGCGTGAGATTTTGTCTAGGTACAGCAGACATGACTTTCACAGAAGTAAATCCTACTTTTCGGTTATTAATAACGCTCAGTGTGGACATTAAGCCCACTCATGTTTATGTCATTGTGTTCAATAAATCAGTCAATAAAATTTTCCATCAACATGTGCGGGGTGACGCTTCATAATATGTGCAAACACAATCGATTCTGATTGTAAATGTGCAAAAAATCAGTTTTAATGAAACGTCAATAAAGCATACCTTCGGAGGCAGAAATTAAAAGCCAGGCTGAGCTTTGAATTGTTGGGTTTCTGCTGTGTGGATCAAGCTTCTCCCTGCAAAAATCAACAACATTAGATGCTATTGATGAAATGAGCTGTAGTTCAGACACTGCAGTGCTCCAGCATTGCCTAAGGGGAAACAGAATACTGAGAATACAAATGCACAGGCATGCACTGTTACATAAACCATTTGCATACAGAAATAAATAACCTTATATACACACATTACTCTGTAGGCCTGTGTTTTTTTTCCCTATTTCTTGCCCCATAAAATAAGAATTTGTTTGAGAAAGAATATCATATCGGTAACACTTTAGAATAACTATCCGTTATAACTAGTTATTAGACCATTAATAAACTGTTAGTTAACAAGTTATAAATGACTTGTTAAACAAAAGTTAATAGTTTGTTAATTATTTACAACTGTACCTTATAGATGGCTAATAGATAACTTACAAGCCGTTAGTTGACAAGTTGTAAATGGCTTCTTAACTGTGTTTTAATTATTTATAACGTTACCTAATAAATTAGTAATAGATCATGAACAAGCTGTTAGTAAATAACTTAATAAAGGCTTGTTAAGTATCAGTTAATAGTGTATATATGTTATTGGGACGTTATTCTAAAGTTGCAGCTATTCTTCATTTATTAACTGTTAGTAAATGAGGAATAGTTGCAACTTTAGAATAACGTCCCAATAACATGCTTAAGCTAATAACTAACACTTAACTATTATATTTACTCACACTTTACAGATCAGTTGTTCACCCTATAATAACACCAGTGAAACTTTTTTATTAGACCACTGGTGTAATTTTAAATTTTTATTTATTTTGTTTTCATGTTTAGCACTTCATGGGTTTGTATTCTTGCATACTGCTGTACTGCCATGTCATGGTTCAGTATGTGTGTTTCTATACATTAAAGACAACTTTTAACATTTCATCTGTGGAGTTTCTTTGGTAAAACACAGCACACAGAAAAGCCTATAAGTGGAACAAGGTTTAGAAACAAACATTTTATATTTTAAATATTACATCAAATTTCTGTAGCTTGAACTTATTCCATCCATTTGCTGTTCTACAAGGATTCATTGGTATAAGTAGATGGTTAACAAACGATGAACAACTCTCGTCTGTAAAGTGTGAGTAAATATAATAGTTAAGTGTTAGTTATTAGCTTAAGCATGTTATTGGGACGTTATTCTAAAGTTGCAACTATTCCTCATTAACTAACAGTTAATAAATGAAAAATATCTGCAATGTTAGAATAACGTCCCAATAACATATACACACCATAACTGATACTTAACAAGTCTTTATTAAGTAATTTACTAACAGCTTGTTCATGATCTCTTAAAAATTTATTAGGTAACGTTATAAATCATTAAAAAACAGTTAAGAAGTCATTTACAACTTGTCAACTAACGGCTTGTAAGTTATCCCTTGCCCATCTATAAGGCACAGTTGTAAATAATTAACAAACTATTAACTTTTATTTAACAAGTCATTTATAACTTGTTAACTAACAGTTTATTAATGGTCTATTAACTAGTTATAACGGATAGTTATTCTAAAGTGTTACCATCATATCCTTTAATTATTATTATTATTGAATGAATGAAGTGCAACACATTAAAAACAGTCAATCTGTAAAAGTGCGACATTATCTTAGCAGTTTTTCAATGAAAACAAAGTGGTTAATTTACTGTCAGGTATCTTGTAAATGCATACATTCTGACTTTAAAAGTTGGGCTAATTTAAGATAGGGCTGGGCAATTTGGCCTAAAATCAAAATCTTGATAAATTGAACATTTTAACTCGATTACGATGAATGAATGATCATTTTTTCAATTTATTTTTTCCCCTCATAGTTCACTGATTTTTTAATAACGGAAGCGTTATTTGTTTTTAAAATAATTGAAGGAAACACACTATCTACTATCTGTGATTATTTATGTGATTTAAATAGTTTTAAAAAAGTTAAAGCACACATTGCCTAAAGTCAGTCAGTTTTTTTCTTATTAAAAATTAAAAACACTAAAAAATAGATTATTTTGTTTCCAAAAGTGCAAGTTATTTAAAGTAGAAAATAAGCAGTATGTCTTCTAAATAAAATAACTCTTGCATATCATGTAAATATTTTATTAACAGTGCATTTCTTGAATATTCAGTAAATAAAAGTTTCATGTAAATAATAATTGTATTCTAATGGAAAAGATGCTGTTTCAAGGCATCTAGCTTTCCAATCATGGTCAATGTACTGCAAACTTTCAACGTTATATTTTTTTAAGGTGTGAAGGCTGTGCCAGACAATACCCGTGCATTCAACGCAAAAGTATAAATCAGCTTTAACAGAACGGGTTCACATGACTCCACAGACAGTAGGTAAAGTAATTAACCAATTAAAAAAAAATAAAAATTAACCAATTAATTCAGGTAATTTTGTTCAATAAAAGTACAAAGATGAAGAGAATAAAAGCTCTCCTATGCTTTCAAAAGTATCTCAGTGTAGCTGAAACAATGAAAATCAATGGATAGATAATGAGTTGTGCAAGTTGAGAGACTGAGAGGTCCATGAAGAAACATATGCATATGCTACAGTATGCAAATGCTGGTGCTTTAGTGGATAATACATTAAATAATAAATAAAATAAATGTCATGCCTCTTCTCAAACAACACTGGAACCGGAACTATTTTTCTGCACAGAAAAGCACAGCTTGGAAAAATGTATTCTTATTGTTCTGATTTATTAAATAAATTTAGTTCATTTTGAACCAAAAAGAAAGGTCACATACAGCATCTTTAGGACAGAAATGTACTGTTAGAAACAAGGACTTAGGGCATTTGATCGCAAAGTACAAACTTAAACACTTAAAGAATGAAACAATAGTACAATTGACGATACCTCACCTATCATGAGTGCCTGTAGTGGAATCTGATGTACACCAGATTAGGCAAGTGGTAAAGTAAATTGGTGAAAAGTGCAATGGCGAAATGAGATATGTATACATGTATTTTTGTATTAAAAAAAAAGCAGTTCATAGCCACAGAGGGTACTACCCTCAGTTTTTGAGTTTTGCTCCATTAAATATTCAGGAGATTTTAGTTTGAGTCACAGCCAAGAAGATGTCTAGTTGTCTGGGTGTGTAAAACATGCATCCATAATATGAGAGCAGGCCCAGTCTTCCAAAAAAGGTAAATCTATGTATTCTGGCTAGACCTGTCTAATGCCTCTGGTTTAGCTTCAGCTTCTTAGCTTTTTAAATCTACTTGCCACTACTTGTACCAACAAAAGGAAGTCCAACAGCAATGAACAGGGAACACACACATTCTGCAAAGAGATTTTAGATGTCTGGCTAAACTCCAAACTCCATTTAGTAGGCTGAGTTACAAAAGATTTTCTCTCATCCAAGACGAGATATCTGCTAGACATTGCAAGATCCACGCAACTACCATGGGACTGTGGTTAAATGTAAAGAAGCTGCGTGTCATCAGCAAAGCAATATTAGGCAAAATCATATGCTTGTAAAATACGTAGCACATCTGAAGGAGGTCCGAGAACAAGTCCCTGAGGTATACAAGCCAGGAGCTAAAATTTTCATCCATGTTCATCATAATAAAAAAACTGTTATGATCCTCTAGGACAGTGGTTCTCAAACTTTTCTCACCAAGTACTACCTCAGAAAAAAATGGTCTCTCCAAGTACCACCATAATGAGCAGTATGGAAATACATTAGCGTAGTAGTAGCCCAGTAAAGCAGCTACAGCTCTGCAGTTCAAAAATGTGGCAGATTAATTCCTATTATTAAGAATATTTATTATTGTCAGCCTCTTTAAACATAAATAGTTAACACTGTACTGTGCTTATATGTAAAAAATAAATAAATAAGAAAAACACTAAAAACGTCAATATTTAAATTCAAATATGCTTAAGGTAAAAAGAAAAGTGCTGTACTCAAATCTAAAGTATTAACATATAGCAGCCAATTCATCAACACCTGAAAATGTTGCCTGGACCTCAGAAATATAGGCTATATGTCATATAATGAATATTATTATATGTCATGGTCATATGTAAATCATTTTTGATAAATTTAGAAATAATTGTTGCATGTAGATATGATATATTTGATTCCTCCGCGTACCACTAGAAGGAAGCCCGTGTACCACTACAGTTTGAGAACCACTGCTCTAGGAAATTTAAAAGGTTTGACCTCATCACTCCATGGGAATAAGGAACTGTAAATAAACTGTAAATAACTGTAACAAGTAGAAGCCAACGAACACAAAAGAAAATGAATGTATGACTGCCATTTGCTCTGAAGGTTTGTTGTCAAGGAAAATATCTATACAACATCTACAGAAAACTCTGGAATTGATTGATCGGATTCGGCTCGGTTTATCATCTCAAAAATAGAGAAAGAAAGTTTCTGGCTGTGGTTTAGAATAAGATAAAAAAAAATGTGGAGTAACAGAAGTAAGGAAGTTTGGGGTAAAAACAAGTAGCTTACAGTAAGACCTTTTCATTCAGTTTAGAGACATTTATACTAGAAGTTCACTTATATTTCCAAAAGAATTGATCTTTTTAGAAGCATAAGGGTGTCGGGACATACTTGAATATTGTCCAACTTCCTGGAAATGTCCTGGAAATAATATGCCAATATATCTCTGAAAGGGGCGGGATGGTTGCTCAGTGGTTAGCATTGAACATCCAAAGAGTTTCACACTCTTAAAAATAAAGGTTTATAAGGGAGTTTCACGTTTGTACCATTTAAAGAACGCTTCTTTGCTTGCTAAAAGGGACCTGCAGCTAGCTCTTTGCAACACTCACATGGTCGCCCACTGAAGCTAAGCAGGGCTGCGCCCGGTCAGTACCTGGATGGGAGACCACATGGGAAAGCTAGGTTGCTGCAAAAAGTGGTGTTAGTGAGGCCAGCAGGGGGCTCTCAATCTGCAATCTGTGCGAGTCCTAATGCCCCAGTATATTGATGATGACTTTATACTGCTCAAGTGAGTGCTGTCTTTCGGATGAGATGTTAAACCAAGGTCCGGACTCTCTGTGGTCATTAAAAATCACAGGAAAAAGAGTAGGGGGTCAACCCCAGGATCCTGGCCAAATCCTCTGTCCATTATGGCCTCTTAACCATCCCCATATCATAATTGGCTTCATCACTCTGTCTCTGTCAGCTGATGTGCAGTCTGGTGCAATATGGCACACTGGTGGTGGATGAGGACATTCCCCCCAAAAATGTGTAAAGCGCTTTTAGTGTCTTGAAAAGCGCTATATAAATGTAAGGAATTATTATTATTATTATTGTCGCTTCACACCAAGTAGGTCACTGGTTTGAGTCCTGGCTGGGTCAAGATTAATTTCTGTGTCTTGCTTGCATGTACTCCCCATGCTTGCGTGGGTTTCTCCCGTAGACATGCACTACAGTAGAATTGGATCAACAGTAGTGTATGGGTTTCCAAGTTCACTTGGTAGTGTGTTATTTCTGAAAGGTGGCTTTTGACATGCAGCTGTAATTCAAATTTGAGACATTCTTACAAGTTTGAAACAACAGGAAGCAAAAGCACACACTGACAGAATTTCCATTTTCCAAAAAAATATCCTTACAAGCGCGTATAATGTCAGTCAGTCTCTTCAGGCTAAAGCACTCAAATGCATAGTGTTTTACACATTATAGAAAGAAATATTTGTTTCTAGAAATCACAATAAATTTGTATTTTCTTTTTAACAATAACTTTAAAAAACTAATCTAAACTCCTTCTCCAATGCTATGCTTATTTCGCTGCATTTCCTGGTGGTTTTGGGGCATGGTTTTTCCATGTTGCTCCAACAGGTGGCGGCGCAGAGCAGACCTGTGTGCAAAGCTGATAGGGCAGTATGCGCACACGTACGGGCGCTCCCCGCTGTGCACGTTCATGTGGTCGTACATTGTTGACTTCTGAGTGAAGGTCTTGTGGCACAGGGGGCAGGAGGGGAGCCTGGAATTATCTCGATGGAGGAGCATGTGGCGGTTGAGATTCCTGGAGTTGCTGAACTGCTTCCTACAGCACGGACAAATATACTGCTGGTGTGCTGATAAGGAATGCATCGCCAAGTCCTGCGTAGAGGAAAATGCCAATCCACACTGCTCACACACTACTGGCCCGGTTACATTGGATGTGGAACCCACCACAGATTCATCTGTAGCTCCGCGCTCATTGGAAGGTGTTCCGATTCCCAATTCTTCTTCTCCGCTTGAAGCTTCAATACGGAAGTGTGCAGGACCTCCATCAGAGCCTATATCTTCTCCTGGTCCTCCTTCATTTTTGTACTCGGTGTGAACAGAACAGTCTGTGAGACGCTGATTGGACTGATAATCAGCCTGAAAATCTGTTTCTGACTTACCCATGATCTCTTCTGCTGTCTGAAAGCACCAGTTATCCTGATAATTCCCTAAGGATGTGCGGTCCTTCTTAAATACGTATCTCTTCCTGCGTTTTAACCCTCTTCCTTTAATTCCCTTGCGCTCACTGTACTGTTGTTCCCCATGGAGGTCATCGTATTTAGCTTGAACCTCCATATTAGGCTCCTCTATGCCCATGTCCAACTGACAGAGGTCTTCTGATGCAGTTTCTCGGTTTTCCTCTTCAGCATCAGGGGTCTTCTCTGGTTCATCAATTATGACCTGATAGACATCACTCCCATATCCATCCTCTGTCTCGAAGAGGCTGGATGAATCTGATCCTCGTACCTGGTAGGGTAGAAAGATAAATTAGGAAAAAGCTAAGTAAGCTACACATTTTAAGAGCTGATCTTTTTTCCTCTGAATATTATTTCTAAAAGAGCTGTTGACATAGAATTAAACCAGATTTTGGTAAAAACCCAAAAAATACAAACATAAAAAAAAAATAAATAAATCAGAATTTTAATGAAATAACGCAAGAAGAAAGTACTGAACTTCTGAAACGCATTTAATACTTTTTTGTTATTGGCATCTTAAAGATGCCACATGAAGTCACATGAATTGCTCAGGTGTGATTTTTTTGGCTACAGAATTCAACAGAGTGTAAAAATCTTAATGGTTCTGTGGGTCTTTTCTATCAAATCTGATCTTTAATTTGTATTTTCTATTGGATTCAAGTCAGGTAATTAGTTTGGCCATTCTACAGCTTGATTTTCTTTCTCTGAAGCATTTGAGAGTTACCTTGGCTGTGTTTTGAATCATTGTCTTGCTGAAATGTCCACACCGGTTTCATCTTCATCATACTGCTAATGTACATGTTGAACTGAAGCAGCTAATATTCATTTACAATAATGAAGGGCAGAGGGTTGCTGAATAACTACTGAGAGATTTCAGTTGCTGTCTGGGTTTTCACTGCCTTTTTACACCTCCCTTTCTTCATGTGTTCATTACTTTTTCCCTGCATCATTTTTTTATACACATAACTTAATTTGTAAACTAATAAGATTGGTCTTATTAATAAGAATAAGATTTGTGCTGCCCTAACCAATCAGGAGCTTGCCCTTGAAGGGGTGTAATTATGACATAGCACCTGTTGTTGATGTCTTGAGGGGAAATCCTCCTGCCGACATAGGAGAACAGCTCATCAAACTGGGATTAGCTCTACTAATTAGCTCTATTAGTACTACTGAAAGCTTCCATCATCCAGGTACAGTTTCTGGAGAAGTTGATGAACTCAAAGAGCTGGGTGCACCTCTGAAAGGATGTAGTGGATTCAGACACAGCGCCGAACGAATCTATGCTTTTTTCAGCATTCCTAAAGCACAGCTGCTATCTCAATAAAATCCATGTTAGCCAATTAGCAACAAAGCTAGAATTCCTGGGCGGACTGAAGCCCTGTCCATGACATAAATCCGCATCTATTGTGAAGCAAATTTGAAGCGCGAATGAAACGAGAAAACTGAAAAATGTTCATGTGTGTTCTATTTACATGCTCTATTTACACGCGTGCTGTGTCTGGTGTGAACGCAGCATTACAGGACTTAATTCTAAAATCCTGCACAAAGATTGTCTTTACAAATCAAATTTTTTTTAAAAATGCACGAAGTCAGGCTAAAATGATGCTAAGAGTACTTATTAAACTCTTCAGATTTCTGGGTGAACTAATGTATTTTAAGCAAATCTTTATATGATGTATGATTTGATTATGTCCGTCTCTGTGAATAGTCTAATAACTTAATGCACTACAAATTGTTTGCATTCTATCACCAACTGCTGAACACTTGTAGCTTTTTAGTCGGTATGCAAAATTAACTGCTACATTTTTGCTCAGGTTTAGGTTAGGCTCACACAGCTTTGGTTAAGGATGCACAAATTTTGCTCTGCATGTAACTGAATCAACCGTTTGATACATTTTTAATTTTCAGGGTATAAGGTGAAATAAGTTTATAGAGCCACTATAATACATTAAATAGGGTCATATATTGGTTTTAAGGGATTACAACAAAAGGCTGATATGCATGTAAGGTCACACTTTCATGGTCTTACAATATACATTAATTTTTACCTAATTATCCCAGCGACTCCCATATGATTCGTTCAGCAATTTATTTGATCCCAAACCCCTCCCTAGCGCAAAGATAATCTGCGCTGATAGGACCAATGAAAGCCTGTTGCGATTGGTTGACAACTTTTAGCATGAGACGAAATGCCCACCATGGCTTATCAACAATATTGAAGTAGTCAGATTGCATGGTGTATGTGTGACCGTACCGGCCAACACTCCTGTTTTTCCTGGAAGTCTCCCGTATTTCAGACCCATCTCCAGCCACCCATCCATTTTGTTATTTATCCCGGAAAATTCCCGTAATCTGTACTGATAAAGTTCCTGTCGAGCCCTGTCAAAATCCCATACATCAATAGTCTTTTCTGATCCTTCTTTTAGCAAACGTTCGACAAATCCCCAGTTGTAAGCGTGTAGATCGCAGAAGCATTCGTCAGAAAAATAACGGGAATGGCCCAAGGCTGGGCTATAATGCTGAGGTATTTTTGCAAAAATAAACCTTAACCACTGACTTTTCACAGTTTCATCTTTGGATAGAGAAAATAACACTAACTTTCCTTCACACTTCCAATAATATCCAGGTGAGCACAGCGTCTTCATGACTTGATTAAACCTGGATCTGCAACAGCGTTTGTCTTCTTTTTTTTTTTTTTTTTTGCTACTGTGCTAGTGGGCGGGACCGCAGGTTTCAATTTTATGTTGATGTTTTGTATTGACATCCTGCAGAAACGGCTAAAGGCTCGTGATCAAGACGATTCATTTGAAGCACTATGAGTCAACTCTTTTATAGATGAATCAATAGTTTTAAACACTGCCCACTTTCAGATTTAAGTCTTAGCTGGATATTTTACTTCACTTAGAGCTGTGTTACACACTACATGGAAGGTCATTTTCAAAAACCCATAATAGGGGCTCTTTAACAACGTAATACTTGGTACTCTTGTGTAATATTAGAAAGGCAACTGTTTACTCATACTTTAACTGGTTTTTAAGAACAAAATAGACACTTCTACTTGCACTACATTTTTGGTACATTTGGTGCGTAATGGTACTTGAGTGTGATGCTAGAGTTCAGTGTGGAACTTCAACAAATGTGTACGTACACTGACAATCACTGGCATAGATTCAGAATCATCTGATTTCACAGTCTGTACAGACTTGTTTGACGTCAAGACCGGGGAGCAGCTCTGGGGCTGCATGTACTGGCTCAGGGCCCCTCTGCATTTCTCCACCACATGCTCCATCTGCAAGTAGCTGGCCGCGGTCATGTAGTTCACAATCTCTTTGGCGCTGAACTGCAGTATCCCTGTATAACAGGACTGGAGGAGTTCACATACCACTGCTGAGCTGTGCAACATCGACACCTGGTGGGTAAAGAGAGTATTTGTTGTTAAAATAAAAATAATCAGTTAACATTTAAAAAAATAATCTGGTAATTGTGCAAAAGCACAGTCAGGCCTCATTTTTTTAAAAGAGTAATTCATTTTTAGATACATTTTTACTAGTAATGCAAAACAGAGGCCCAGTTTACACTTGATATTAGCAGGAGCAATGATATTACACAGTTATGCAGACAATTAGGCAGTTGGGGTGGTGGAAGGATGCTGAAGTCAAGAGAAAAGAGAGGTATGACGTGTTTGGCTATTTATAGGGGTTTGGTCTTGAGCTGATTGGATAATAGAATGATTTTCTGTGATGAATTAGCCTCGTCAAAGACTGATCGTGCTCCTCCTGAAATTTGTTTATTAAACATCACTTAAAACAAGTTGGTGTCTTAGTGTAGTGTCATTTGCCACTTTTAAGTTTTAAAGCAGAGTAGAAATAGTTTTGGAATTTCATATTCTTAGAAAATTGGGATGATTTTTAAAGGGGTCATGAAATAGAAAGTAAAAATTGTGTTTTTTATGGTTTAAGAGAAGTCGTTTGTGTCTCCAGAATGTGTCCATAAGGTTTCAGCTCAAAAGACTCATCAGACTATTTATTATATTTTTCATAATATTGGAATTTCCTGCTTTAAACACAATGTAGCTGTTTTTGTGGCCTGTGCCTTTAATGCTAGATCTCCCCACCCACCGTTCCCACATGCCTGCCAGGAGTGTGCCTCAATCTCCTCATTTGCTTTGTGCACGTCCTGTCTTGAGGATATAATTATACGTGATTCAACAGAGACATGTTAATACGTCAATCAATCAATTTAGTGGGTGGGGAAAACTGCACTCCTAAGTCACATTGCAATGGACCCCAAAAATGAAAGTGTTTTGTCACAACTTTGTAAAAGGTATGACCTAATCTAGAGCATCAGAATAGTAAAATCTAAGACAGCATTTTGTGATCCTCTTAAAAACATTATATTTCAAGACCTGGTCGTGAACAACATTTAACAGTGAGCACCACAAAGCCACATCCAAAACATTAAACACTTCAGCTTTAAATAAGTCACTATTAAGACACAAACTGTATCATTATTTCAGTAATGTTAAATGATTGGATCAAAAATATTTGCTACAGTTGTGGCGGTGTTGTTTCAACTTCTCCCTCAGGCTCAAACAAAGTTAGCTTTGTCACATCGCTTCCCATTTTTAGTATCAAAATACATGCCATGTTTTAAAGAAGGGTGTAAACGATGTGATATATTGGCCAGTGTGTGTTTACTATTGTTTAAGACATAAAACCCCTAAATTCAGTGTTTTTCAGAGTTGTCATTTCGACACATTTGGACCTTAATGGAGGGGAAAAAAATCTTTAGTACTCTTTAGTAGTCAGTCTTTGGTACTCAAAAACGTTGGTAACACTTTAGTTTAGGTCATAATTCATGCTATTAAACTCTTATTACCTGTCAATGATTGTGATATTAACTGTTGATTAGTAGTTATAAAGCATGGTCTCATTCTGCATCCCTAATCCTACCCAAAACCTAAACCCAACTTATACCTTACTTACTATTAATAAGCAGTTAATTAGTAGTTTATTGAACTAGCAGTGTTAGGTAATGGTTTGTTAATATGGGGAACTGTGACCTAAACTAAAGTGATACCAAATGTTTTTGTTGCTGCTCTCACAGATTAGTACAGTTAAAAACATGACAATAGTTGATGATTTTTAGCAGCACTTGTCAGCAAAATATGCTAATTTTGTTTGTTTTACTGGCATTGTTTACGGCTTGCTCACCATCATGGGCGACTAATGATGCACCCTGAAAATATTGATAGGTTAGGGCAAAACGTCTACACATGCAGTGCATAAAGATGAGACAATATATTGAATTAATAGTTAGGCTAGACGTCCATTTCTACAAACATTTTTACATATTCAATGACAGATTCATGTGCGGCAAAAAGCTATTTCTTCAGTTCAGGTTGTACAGATGTTGTTAAATTTCATCTTTTACATTAAGTGTAGCAAACGGCTTTACCTGTAGCTCTGAAGTTGGGTTCATGAGAAACTGGTCTCTGAGAAACACAGAGCAAGCCGCCAACACAACCTTATGACCCCTGAACATGCGTCTGCCGCCTGCAACAATGGTGACATCACAGAAGTGCTGCTGCGATCGCAGGGAGTTCATGTTATTTAGAGTGGTTTCTCCATGTCCAGGCAAACGGAAACTCACCACTTCCACATCCATGATCTTAGCACTGGAAGCTAAAGAAAAAAATACAAAATCATCAATTGACTAGACTAGTAAAAGTGTACCTAAATGGCAACAATAATTAACTGAACTCATCTAATTTTTAACCAGTCTTAATCTTTATGAATCGCTCTGTCAAAGAGTTTATCGATTCAAATTGTTCTGATCACCATTTGCCAATCATCTTATTTAAAAATCTTAAAGTGATAGTTCAGACAAAAAAGAAAAACTTGCTGCTAATTTACTCACTTTTAAACCATCCAAAATGTAGGTGAAGATTTCAGATGATATTACGGTGATTCATACAACACAAATCAACACCTAAACACTTTAAGATTAAAATAAAAAATACAAATAAAAACATATAGGCAAAAGAACATTATTACACATGACTCCTGATATTCACTGAGTGCAGTAAGTGAAATGATCTGTGCAGGAACATAATTACCAGTAATAAACAGGGACAGTGTCTCAGCACACAGGTTATAGTGTGTTTGTGTCAGGCTTGAGCTTGAGTTTCTTAAAGCAAATTATGGCCAGTTTCCACAGAGTGGACAGTACTGTATGGTATGAGTCATCTTTATTGGCTCGTTTCCACTGAGTGATACAGTACAGTACAGTATGGGTTAATATGAGACACCTTTATGAGGCTTGCATTACCACTTCCTAAAAGGTACCAATGGTGGGCATGGTGTACAACAGAAACTTTCAGTCGACGTCATTTTCACTCGAGAAAATGTCAACATAATACTGTAAGATTTTTTCATATATCTTATGAGAAGCACCTCTCACAAAACTGATGCTTTATATATATAAATAATTGTGTATAAATGTTCATTACTAACTTTTCTATGAACATAATTTTATTACAACTGCAGATCAATGATAAAAATAGCCTACGGTAACCTCTGCAATTATAAATTACAATTAACCTTATAAATGCAACCTACTTGAACACATACAGCCCCGTACAGTCTCCAATTCTGTTACCAATTATAGAAAAACTACACACACCATACATTTAGTCCTTATTTGGCTTCATATATATATATATATATATATATATATGCATGATAGTCTTTGATATAGCCCACAGTCAGTGCAAACCTCTTATCTGTGTTTAAGTTTCGCCAGCAAAGGTAACCTCTTTTTAGAATGTAATTCTGTCATTTTGAGTTCATTATAGACCAAAGGGTGATAATAATAGTTAAACATGGCAGTTTGTTCATGTTTTAGGTTGCTGAAAGAATTATTTGCTCCTTTGTTTTTTCCAGCTTCTCCTTTTTTCAGTTTTTTTTTCGCACTTTTCTTCACTTTTGTCCATTTCTGAAAGAATCGGATGTCAGAAGTACTTCAATAATCATGCGCATGATGTTATGATCAGCTCAAAAAGTTTGTTATTTCAAATATAGACGGGACCGCAAGCTCACAGGAGAACGTGAAACCGCTCACACTTTTAGACTGCCTCGTAAAACAAAAACAGGACAAGGCAGATTTTGTTCTTCTTAGCTGTTCATCAAGACAACAACAAGGTTTGTTTGAGCTCAGGTTAACCCTGGCTTATTATTATGTGTATATTATTATTATTATAATGTATTGGTTGTCTATTTAAAAATGGTGGTTTCTTTGTTTTCATCATCCTGGCTTGTTGCAGGAGCAAGTGACGTCTCTGTAAACCAAAATCATCCAGTTGTGCGTCTAACTTCGCCTTTTGGTAACTTTTTGTTGTGCTAGGTACCCTTTGCAAAAGGTACCAAAAAAGTGATACAGTACAGTTCGCTTTTAGGATAGTAGAAATTCATTTTGATAGTGGAAATGGCCATAAAAGAGTCCTGAACCAAGCCATACCACTCAGTGGAAACAGGCCCTAATAATGTATTCTCAGGCATTAGCTCATACAAGAGCTAATGTTATCTACAATGCAGACAGTGGGCACATATGTTGTATTGTTCAGATGCTGTTTATTCAAAATGTTACTTGCGTTTATTCTAGACTAGACTGCAACCAATATATATGTTTTAGATGTCTCCTTTGTCTGTCGCACCAATTACAGGTCTTTCAGTCACTGCTAATGAGCTGATGATCTGAATTAGGTGTGTTTGGTTGAAGATTTACTTTTCACATGTTCCTAATGTTTGCTATATGCAACAGGAAGTTTACACTTCAGACAATTTACCAATACTTGTAAGCTGATCAGTGGTGGAAAGAGTACTGAAAAATTATACTCAAGTACCATAAATTGCCCAAAGATATAGTGCAAGTAGTGTTTAAGTATCTGTTGTAAAAAACACTCAAAGTATGAGTAAAATTAGCCATTTTAAAATGAGTTAGAGTAAGTGTAAGTGTGGAGTATTATGATGTAAAAAGCTTCTGCGTTATCATGTAATTACAGTATGTTAGTGTGAAAACACAACATTCTATAGTGGGTTTAGTTATACAGTAAACACTCATCATCTTTTATCATCACATGCAGTCTAAACAGTCTCTCTGTCATTGCGACTGAAGATTTTTGACATCTTCTTGGGCACTTTTGCTTCCAAACAGTTTTCTGCATTTATAAATCGCCCATGTCTTGAGGTAGTTTAGTATGATGCGATTTACCTTTTATGTGCGATTTGATTGGACAGGAATCACAGGACAGATTTTTCTAATCCCCATAGACTGATAATAAAGTAGTGACTGCAGGTTAAATAAAAAGTAGTGAGGTAAAAGTACCAATACTGCACTAAAAATGTACTCAAGAGAAAGTAAAAGTACACATTTTTAAAACTACTTACAATTTCAGAGAAAAACTACTCAATTACAGTCATTTGAGTATTTGTAATTTGTTACTTTACACCACTAAAGCTGATGATAATTTTGGTAAATGATATTCAGTTTTTGCACAGACCAGTCAATTCACTTGTGTTAATTTTGATTGCCTGTATATTTTTTGATTCTCCCCAGCTGAGTAGTTGTAGATTCATATCCGTTGAGTCACCACAGACTGCAGTTTTCAGCTTAAAAATGGTCTTCTTAAAACGTTCCCTATATTTTGGATGACCTGAGGGTGAGTAAATTAAAAGCAAACTTGCATTGTTGTGTGAATTTTAAGTGCTGCGGTCTTGGTTGTCAGTGAACATTTGCATTGTTTATAAGAGTTTTGTTTGGTAACTTAATTGTCCTCGTGAAAAAAACATATAAAATGTATATAAAATAAAAAATAATTACAGCAAAACATATAGAGGACAGTGGGTAACATTAACGTTACTTAAATTACTGTGGGACAAACTGTAGGACTCCTAAACTCAAAACGAATGACAAATAATATCATATAACATGAAAATTAGCCATTCACTAGCCAAACACTATTTATTAAGAATATAACGCATTTAAAATGCTAGTTCGGTAACAATTCGTATTAATTTTGTAATATGAATATTATACAAACACGTGGTTAACGTTATACACTTGAGAAAGAAACCGTCACTCAATGTTTACATTAACTTACTCTTGAGCTAAAGTAACGTTAGCTCAACACTAGCATCTTTGTTTTAGACGAGCTATTTAATAACACTGTCCGCACGACTCTTTGATTTAGTGAGAGGAATTGTGAGTGATTCAGTGAGAAGCAATGAATAACCCAAAAACAAATCGCAATCACATGATGCTCGAGGATCACATCACTGTCAACACCAAACAGATCTCACTACAGCTGTCTTCTTTTTGTGTCTGATTTCGGCCATATCTGCCCAACAGTGATCACGTGCATTTTAAAATGTTACGGCTTTGATTAGCAGAATGAAAATAAGTCAGAAAACTTACCAGGAAATTTTTTGCACACAAAAAAGATGATTTTCAGAATAAAAGCCCCGTTTTGATTACAATAAACCAGCGGTTTGTTAACAGTGGGTCGAGTACCCCTTGAGTATTATTGTAAGGCAAACAGTGATTGGTTGGCGCAACAGCGAGCTACGATTGGTACAAGCAATGCTGCCGCTATCCTATTGGTTTAAATATATGTGGTAGGTGGAGTCTATTGGTTCGTAACAACTGAGTCAGTGGGCGGAGTAAGAGGCGTTATCTACTACATCCTAACCATAATCAAATCATAGGTGGGTGGACAGATCAAGCTCTATCCATCACATCCACACAGGGATTCCTTCAAATGGATGTGGTTTTTTGGCTCTACAGTGGCTTGGATTTGGGGAAGAGGATGAAACCAAATGTTTTATCATTTTCTTTAGTGCCGCACACAACAGGTTACATCAGTTATTACAACTCTATTACAAATCTATTTTTTAGATTTGATCAATATTGATTAATGATTAATTGATGTTTAAGTGCATTTAAATATATAAAATAAATAGAAAAAAAGTTTGGTTTGCAAAGAGCCCACTCTTTATCTCTATATTTTTCTAGCAACATACGAAACAGTATGTTGTTGCACAAATCAGTGACTAAGAGGACCAAAAATGTCCACCGGGTCCAAGAAGAAGACATGCTGAGGCTATAGCTACACTGTTAGACATTTCTGTAAATTACACAGTTATTTACTGTATTTCACCCAGTGTAATACTGCAAATTCCTTTTACAGTAAATAACTGTATTTACCGTTGCATTATGGGAATTTAGTGTGACGTCGAACAACATATACAGCGATGTACTGTATTTGTAAAAATTCGTGTATTATACTGTATTTTCCACAACTGCTTCAACGCCACCTTGCGGCGATTCGACTACTCTGCACCACATTTTGCCTGAGGACCCTGGAGCAATTCTGGAAGACAATTTATTAGTGTGCCTGAAGAACATACTGGATTTAACAAACTTTACTCTGGTAAGCTGAGGCAGTGTTTCATTTTACAGAATGTTTTGTGGACGAGAATAGAACAAAGTAAAGTATAAAGTTGGCTATTATTATTTTCTCTGGCTTGGCGTTATTTCGCCCATTTGAGAAATATATCATCTATTAAGATGTTACCTTTATTTAATTTATTACATTAACACTACTATTACTACTAAAAGGGCATCCTCTGCTTAAAACATCTGCTAGGTAACTTGGATGTTTATTCCGCTATGGCGACTCCTGATTAATAAAGGGACTGTGCCGAAAAGAACATGAATGAATGAATGAAAATAATAAAAGAGCAAACAAATACATAAATAATAGGAAGAATAAAGAAAGAGTGGTTAATATTATTAAACGTTTTAAATGATATCTCAATCATTAAAACTGAATATCAGAGAACTGATAAATAATAATACATCAGGGTTTGTGAGAATAAATACCCTGTATAGATGCATTTTATAGCTTTAACTGGATTCCACGCAACAGTTTTAAGGTTTTAAAATACACTCTAAAAATGGTGCTAAACAGCACTAAAATTGGTTATTGGGTGCAATCATATGGCTATATCTTTAAAGATGGTATATATCACCTTAAACACCTGGAAAAAAAACCGCTGAAGAACCATTGCCTTAACAGATTATTTATAAGTGCTTAATATCACATATTACATGCAATAAAAGTTGACCTTAACTAAAAATTGTGTGGCAACTTGCTGCACAGCTTGTTTGAAGCTGACTCAACTTTTAACTCACACTCAAACATAAAAGACTTTTGTTGCTCGTTCTTCAAACTACTTATTTAAAAGGAGCTGAAAAAACACAATTCTTTTTTTTTTTCGTTTTTTGGGGAGACAACTTAATTCTTTTATGTTCAATCCACTTAAATTTGTAAAAACGATTAAGTTAACTTAATTTGTGTTTGTGGGACAATATTAAGGATTTGTGTGGAACCCAGCATTTTTTACAGTGTAAGTATTGCACTTGACTCAATGTAAGTTGATGCTCTGCAGCAAGTTGCCTTACAATTTTAGGTTGAGTAAATTTTTTTCACACTGTATTTATGTAGCACTTCTTATTGATTGCTGTAACTTTGCTGGAAATTTTTGCTGTAAAGCTGTTACAAACTCTGGCACTATTTGAAGAATGTAATGCATTGCTTACAGCATGTTTTTATTTTCATTTAGTATGAAATGCCTCTAAGCAGAGATAAGTTACGCAGTTATACTACCAGTCAAAAGTTTGGGGTCAGTGCAATTTTTAAATGTTTTAAAATAAGCATCTCCAGCTCACCAATACTGCATTTATTTAATCAAAATATAGTACAAATTGTAAAAATGCAAATTGTTATTGCACAATAAAATAACTGTTCAAAAGTAGTTTAGCATTTAATTTAATCATTTATTCCAGTGATTTTAAAGTCATTACTCCAGTCTTCAGAATCACGTGATCCTTCAGAAATCACTCTAATATTATTATTATTATAAATAATAATAATATTATTATTAATGGTAAAAGTAATAAAAGCAACAATGACTGGAGTAATCATTTCATCTGAAACCACATACAACAAGAAAGCAGTTATTTCAAATTGTAATAAATCTTATTATTATTTTTTTTACATTTAATAACTGCTGTCTTGATGAACAGAATAATTTTTTTAATTATTAAATTATTTAAAATTAACTGACCCCAAACTTTTCACCCGTAGTGTATGAGAAGGAGAAGTGAATACTGGGCTGCTATTACACAGAAGTGTGTCTGGTTCCAGTTCTAACCTTAAATGGACATCAGCCACCTTGGTTGAGTTTACTAAAGTTCAGCAACAGAATCCAGGGCATTTTGGGGGAATTCCTGCTCACATCAGTCAAGCTGACGACAACTGGATAAGACTAAAATGAAATTTGGATACTGATATTAGAGTCTTTGATGAAAAGTGCAAATTTTGAAGTGCTGAAAAATGCAAAAAAATTTTTTTTAAAGATATTTGATGCTTCTTGTCTGCAGATTCATGTTTTTTGGCTCTAGGCTTTAAGATGTCAAGAGCATCCTTACAAAAATTAACCATGGTTCAACTGCAATTAGAGCAAAAAAAAAAAAAAAAAAACTTGTTACTAGTTAAACATGTTACATTTACAAATCAACCATGGTTTTGCTACATTAACTATAGCAGTGCTTCTCAGCCACGTCCCTGGTGGACCACCAGCACTGAATGTTTTGAATGTCTCCTTTGTCTGTCACACCCATTACAGGTCTTTCAGTCTTTGCTAATGAGCTGATGATCTGAATCAGGTGTGTTCGTTAAGGAGACATGTATGTGCAGAGCTGGTGGTTCACAAGGAAAGTGGTTGAGAAACACTTAACTATAATAACACCAAGGAATTTTATAGTAAAAGCGTGGTTAAACATATGTGGTTAAACAAATAAGCAAAATTAACTGTTGTTTAACTGCCAATACAGCAAAAAAACAACAAAAACATACTTGGTTATAAAAATAGAAATTATGGCATAAAAATGTTTACTACAATTTTACTACTATAAAAGCATGTTTAATTTTTGTACGGGCACTGACATATTTAAGCAACCAAAGTAAAGTATTTTAGGAAAGAAATAACAAGAAATAACAGCTCAGAGTCATAGAACAGACACAGATAAACACACACATTTCCATATAGGCTACTGGCAGTCATATCTCTCCCTTTTTTAAAGTGTAGGCACACACATTAAAAACAATTACTTCAAATATCTGCCCATAATCATAAACAACAGTCCATTATTTTTACTCCATTGACTCAATATGTGTAGCAAAAATGAAAAGCGTAAAAATAAAATAAAAGCCTGCCCTTTGTATTACAACACCACTTTTATTAATTTTCACTCAGGCATGATGAATATTATCCTTGTATTCACCGGTCTGCAACACATGCATGCAATATTACATCAAGGGTTGTTTATAATTTATTAGTCAATTATACACTCTCCTTGCTAGTAGGTTTAATAGAACTACCTTAATTCATTGTGGCATAGCTTTAACAAGATGTTGGAAATTTATTGCCAACTGCTAAGATACATTATAAAATCCTCCAGTATTTAAGTGCCCTTGAAACTATAAATTCAGTGAACTGGGGCTGCGCCTGGAACTTCCTCCCTTATATGTAACCTTCTTTTTTACTTGCCACTCTTTCAAAACCTTCTGCCATCTGTATAATACAAATAAATGAATTATATTAAACCTAAGGTAATCTAATACAAATATAAATATTTATAGTATACTCATCTCAATGGGACATGCCTGCAACACCTTCCTAGGCATCCGAAACAGATGCCCGAGCCACCTCAGCTGACTTCTCTCGAAGTTGAGGAGCAGCGGCTGTACTCCGAGCTCGTCATCCTATCTATAAGGGTGCGCCCTGCCACTCTGCAAAGGAAAGTCATCATCACCATAGGTGAGAGTAGGAACGTAGATTGACCGGTAAATCAAGAACTTTGCCTTGCGGCTCAGCTCATTCTTTACCACAACAGACCGGTACATTGACCGTATTATGGCTACCGCTGCACCAATTTGCCTGTCAATTTCACGTTCCTCACTTGTGAGCAAAACCCTATACCTGAACTCCTCGACCTGGGGTAAGGACTTTCAACCAACCTGGAGATGGCAAGCCACCTTTTTCCGGTAGAGCACCATTGCCTAGGACTTGGTGGTGCTGATTCTTATTCCAGCCACGTCACACTCGGCAGCACACCGCCCATGCAGTGCATGCTGAAGGTCCATGTTCAATGAAGCCTACAGAACAACATCATCTGCGAATAACAGAGATGAAATCTTGTGATCCCTGAACTACATCCCCTCCAGCCCAAGGCTGCACTCTGAAATTCTGTCCATAAAAATTATGCCCTGCCGGAGTCCAACATGCACGGGAAACAAGTCTGACTTATTGCCGGCAATGCAAACCAAACTCCCACTCTCTTCATACAGGGATGAGACAGCCCTTAACAGAGCGCCTATGATCACATACTCCCAGAGCACCCTCCACAGAATGCCATGAAGGACACAGTCGAATGCCTTCTCCAAGTCCACAAAACACATGTGGACTGGTTGGGCATACTTCCATGAACCCTCGAGCACCCAGCTGAGGGTATAGAGCTGGTCTCGTGTAGTCACTAACATAGCAAAGCATAATAACTAACTTGCACTAGAGCGTGCAAACAAAATGCTAAACTGAGGTATAGTAAATTGTAAAAAAAAAAAAAAAAAAAATGCTTTAAACATAAAATAAGCTATGAAGTGCTAAAAATGCAAGCCTTTTTTTTTTTTACCTAATTAGCGGTTAAAAATATTATCAGATGACTGCTTACCTCCGTATGGACAGCTTTCCCACTGTAACCAGTCTGTCCCATCAGCTCGCCATGTACGTCAGTGGACTTGATATGCAGAGGAGATGACCACGACAACGGGATTTGAGTCCAGTAAAGAACGGTTCCAGGAAGCAGGTTTTTTTAAACAAAAGAAATAATAATAAAAAATAAAAAATAAACAAGTACAGGGTGAGAATGTGGTAAAATCGTAAAAAGTGGTAAAAGTCAGATGAGAGCTTTTCTTTTTCATTTAGGGAAGTGGGTGGGTGGCTCAGTCGATCGGTCAGTTAGTCAGTCAGTCATTCAATCATTCAGTCAGTCAACAGCGGCCTCTGGTGGGTTTATGTGAGAACAGCAGGTGCGAATAGCACTCGCGAAAAAATTAAGAACTAAAAAAGCGCACACAGCGACCTCTCCTGGATTTGAGAAAACAAAAACTGCAAAAAAATGTATATGTATTTCGCAGTCCCCAGAAATATATAGAGGTACATCTTCAGAATGAGCCTGAGTTGTAATTACCTTTATGGGACCAGCAATGTAAAATTAATTCACAGCAAAAAAAATTTGTTTAGACAGTCATTTTAATTAGGCTTCCATTAAATTAGTGACATACAGAGACTAAAGTTACGCTACAGAAAAATGACATGTTTTCTTTCGTTCCTTCACGCCACACTAACTTATAAACATATTTGATACTTTTTATATTAAATGTTTAGCACTTCCAGAAGCCCTACAAATACCTTCACTGTGCATTTATTCTTATCTGCTCACTTGTACTTCTCACTTGACTTTTAACCTGTAAAAAAACAAAATCTGTGCTCTTATGTGAAATAAAGGGACAGTTCACGCAAAAAAAAAAAAAAAAAGTTCTATCAAATCTTACGGTCCTTAAAAACAAAAATATACTGAAAAAAAATTGAGGTTCAAACATCATTGGACTATATAAACACATTGGGTATATAAACACAAACCTTTAATTTCAGCCAGCCACCCTCAGAGCTTCCAGTGAAGTTCTTTCCCCTTCTTTCCATTATAAAATTGCCACCTTTAAGATCTGATTTCTTTAAAAATTTGTGATCTTCACTGCCTGATATAGAACATGAAGCGGGTCTCAAACCTGACAAGAAGTACTGCATTAAATTACATTTCTTTAAAATATGAGTTTATTTTACTCCAATATTGTCAGTGGTGTTTCTGCGCTAATCCTAACAGCAGTGGTTGGTCTTTTATCACTTTTAATGCTTAAACAACTAAATGAATGCTGAAGTCTATTTAAATTAATGTATTGTAATTACATTACAACATTCATTCAATCATTTTCTTTTCGGCTTAGACCCTTTATTAATCCGGGGTCGCCACAGCGGAATAAACTGCCAACTTATCCAGCAAGTTTTTTAAGCAGTGGATGCCCTTCTAGCCGCAACCCATCTTTGGGCAACATCCACACACACTCATACACTACGGACAATTTAGCCGACCCAATTCACCTGTACCGCATGTCTTTGGACTGTAAGGGAAACCGGAGCACCCGGAGGAAACCCACGCGAAGGCAGGGAGAATATGCAAACTCCACACAGAAACGCCAACTGAGCCGAGGTTCGAACCAGAGACCTTCTTGCTGTGAGGCGACAGCATTACCTACTGCACCACTGCCTCGCCCACATTAAAACATCAATGCTGTAAAAGGAACCTTATGAAATTGAAAATAGTCAGATTAAGCTTTCACCGTAAGTTTATCACTGGCTGAAAGTCAATAGCTGTGCATATACCACATTGCAAATAAGTATAAGATCATTCAGTCTTTCCAGGCTTTAGAGTTCAAAAGCTTTGGCAGTGTTCAGCCTGCAAACTGATAATTCTGAATCACTTTGAAACAAACAAATCATTACATGTTGGTTACAAAGACGTACATTTTTACCTAATGTGCACTGATGCATGATAAAGCCTGATTTATACTTCTGCGTCGAGTTACCAACGTACCCCAAGGCACAAACCTTGTGGCACATATGTAGCCGATGCTTATGTGATTATAATGTGGCAGTGGCTCAAACACACATTCAGGGAAGAAAGACACAGGTACCAGTGAAACTTCTACAACTTTAATCACAAAATATACACAAAAAAGTTTCCATCTGTGAGACTAACTGTGCGTTCACACCTAAGGCAGCGAAAGAGTCAAAGTTCACTCTTGCCGCCCTGACAACAATGTGGTCTGCCTTTAAAGTTCTGTCGGCGAGAGCATCAAAATTTGCTACATTGAGCTCATTTAAAGGGGCTGTTGCGGCAAATTACTTACATTTCCACATAAAACATGCTTTCTAGCGTACAAATGTTGCACAATTTTTATCAAATTTATTTAACTATGGAAGATCAAGTTGTTGTGTGTGGTGTGGCTTTGCTCCACTTATCCAATATGTGTCCATATGTCTGAAATATTCTGAAGCAGCAATACTGTCTTGTACTGTCATTATAGTTAGTGAGATTCCTTTTTAAAAAAAAAAAACATCAATGATGCACATCAACTCTCCAGTACTAATCAAAAAACATAGTAAATAATTGGAAAATAGGCAACCACAATAATCAAACCCTTGGAAACAACTGTGATTGGAACCAGGACTGTGTTCCCTGGAATCCTCTGAAGTGGTGGGCTTCTACATTCCATTTGCTTGCCGCCAAACCGTATCATAGCTCATTACCATAAAGCTGACTTCATTTCAACTTTCCTTGATGCCCACACCGGCGAAGATGCACCTTGCCGCTGGCTTCCATTAAAAACTTATGACTTCCGGCGCCTTTGACACTTTCACCGCTTTCGGTGTGAACACATAGTTAAGACTTGTTCAACAACCTCCGCTATCAGCTTTGCTCCGCTCCCTAGGCCCTACCCTCTACCAAGTTGGCCAATCACAAATATTGTACTCTGCTTTGTGACGACACGTAGTTACATTTTTTGGGAGGTGTGTGCCAGGGTCTGTGTTAAGGTACACGACTGTGCAAAAGTTATGCCAGACGTCCCACATAAACTCGACACAGAAGTTTAAACTGGCCTTAAGCCTACACATGTGTATTGAGAAGGTAAATAAAGGTAAATTCAGATTTTATTGTAACAACCCACTCTGACGATCTAAACTCCTCCCCCAGCTCCACTCTCATTGTTTCGCTGCATCTCCAGGTAGTTTTGGGCAGTGCTGCACCACTGCCTCGCCCACATTAAAACATCAATGCTGTAAATGGAACCTTATGAAATTGAAAATAGTCAGATTAAGCTTTCACCGTAAGTTTATCACTGGCTGAAAGTCAATAGCTGTGCATATACCACATTGCAAATAAGTATAAGATCATTCAGTCTTTCCAGGCTTTAGAGTTCAAAAGCTTTGGCAGTGTTCAGCCTGCAAACTGATAATTCTGAATCACTTTGAAACAAACAAATCATTACATGTTGGTTACAAAGACGTACATTTTTACCTAATGTGCACTGATGCATGATAAAGCCTGATTTATACTTCTGCGTCGAGTTACCAACGTACCCCAAGGCACAAACCTTGTGGCACATATGTAGCCGATGCTTATGTGATTATAATGTGGCAGTGGCTCAAACACACATTCAGGGAAGAAAGACACAGGTACCAGTGAAACTTCTACAACTTTAATCACAAAATATACACAAAAAAGTTTCCATCTGTGAGACTAACTGTGCGTTCACACCTAAGGCAGCGAAAGAGTCAAAGTTCACTCTTGCCGCCCTGACAACAATGTGGTCTGCCTTTAAAGTTCTGTCGGCGAGAGCATCAAAATTTGCTACATTGAGCTCATTTAAAGGGGCTGTTGCGGCAAATTACTTACATTTCCACATAAAACATGCTTTCTAGCGTACAAATGTTGCACAATTTTTATCAAATTTAACTATGGAAGATCAAGTTGTTGTGTGTGGTGTGGCTTTGCTCCACTTATCCAATATGTGTCCATATGTCTGAAATATTCTGAAGCAGCAATACTGTCTTGTACTGTCATTATAGTTAGTGAGATTCCTTTTTAAAAAAAAAAAACATCAATGATGCACATCAACTCTCCAGTACTAATCAAAAAACATAGTAAATAATTGGAAAATAGGCAACCACAATAATCAAACCCTTGGAAACAACTGTGATTGGAACCAGGACTGTGTTCCCTGGAATCCTCTGAAGTGGTGGGCTTCTACATTCCATTTGCTTGCCGCCAAACCGTATCATAGCTCATTACCATAAAGCTGACTTCATTTCAACTTTCCTTGATGCCCACACCGGCGAAGATGCACCTTGCCGCTGGCTTCCATTAAAAACTTATGACTTCCGGCGCCTTTGACACTTTCACCGCTTTCGGTGTGAACACATAGTTAAGACTTGTTCAACAACCTCCGCTATCAGCTTTGCTCCGCTCCCTAGGCCCTACCCTCTACCAAGTTGGCCAATCACAAATATTGTACTCTGCTTTGTGACGACACGTAGTTACATTTTTTGGGAGGTGTGTGCCAGGGTCTGTGTTAAGGTACACGACTGTGCAAAAGTTATGCCAGACGTCCCACATAAACTCGACACAGAAGTTTAAACTGGCCTTAAGCCTACACATGTGTATTGAGAAGGTAAATAAAGGTAAATTCAGATTTTATTGTAACAACCCACTCTGACGATCTAAACTCCTCCCCCAGCTCCACTCTCATTGTTTCGCTGCATCTCCAGGTAGTTTTGGGCAGTGGTCCTTCCGTGCTGCTCCTTCAGGTGGCGCCGCAGAGCAGGCTTGTGGGCAAAGCTGACATGGCAGTATGCACAAACGTGTGGGCGCTCCCCGCTGTGCAGGTTCATGTGGTCGCACAGTGTTGACTTCTGAGTGAAGGTCTTGTGGCACAGGGGGCAGGAGTGAAGTTTGGACACCCCGCGGTGGACAATCATGTGGCGGTTGAGGTTACTGGAGTGGCTGAAGTGCTTCCCGCAGCATGGACACACGTACAGCCTATGCGTCGACAGGGAATGCATCGCTAAGTCCTGCGTTGTGGAAAATGCTAGTCCACACTGCTCACACACTACTGGTCCTGTTACGCAGGACGTGGATCCCACCACTGCCACCGACTCGTCAGCAGCTCCACGTTGATTCGAAGGTGCTCCTACTCCCATTCCCTCAGCCCCAGCAGAAGCTTCCACACCAAAGTGTGCTGGACCTCCATCAGGGCCAATCTCTCCTCCTTGTTCTTCTCCAGCTCTGTACTCAACGCGGACAGAGCCATCTGCGAGATGCTGATTGGACAAGTAATCAGCCCCAAAGTCAGCCCCGAAGCTACCCATGATCTCATCCGGGGTTGGAAAGCGCCAAGCCTCCTGATAGTTACCCAAGAGCTTGCGGTCCTTTAATGTGTATCGCTTCCTGTGTTTGAAGCCTCTTCCTCTGCCTCCCCTGTGCTCTCCGTGCCTCCGTCTCCATATACGACCTGCACCGCGGAAGCCACCACCTTTAGCTCGCCCTTCCATGATGGAATCCTCTACCCCCATGTCTAGCTGACAGTGGTCGTCTAACACAACAACTGCATGTCTGTCTTCCTCCTCACCACCAGTAATCTTTTCTGGGTCTTGATGATCATCGTCGATGTGCACCTGAAAGATGTCGCTGTCCTGCAGATCGTCTCCCTCTAAGTGGCCAGATGCATTTGATTCTCTAACCTGGTTTGGTGAAAACAAATTAGGTGAACCTGTTAGAAGCAAACAACCAAAATAAGACCTGATCTACCCTACTTTTTTGAATTTGTTCGATCTGACAAGCATGCAATAGAGAAATGGTTTATATTCAAGTATTCATTAGCAAGGCTCTGCTGTGTGCTCCTCTGAGATCAAGACTCATAACAAACCTACATACACTTTATATAATATATCATATTTATTAGCATGTTTATAGCATTTAAAGATATTTACATGATGTAAGACCAAATCACTGTCATCTTTGTGATGGATGTTGGAAAGTTCAGCATCGCAACCCTGGAGCTCCTTTCCTGAACTGTGAGGATGCAGTGAAGCAGTATCAGAAGGTGATGAAATAGACCCCAATGAATGGGAACTTCCACTGACAATCACCGGCATAGACTGAGGGTCTTCTGACTTCACAGTCTGAAGATATAAATGGGACAAAACAGACAGGAAAAGACAAAGAAAAAGAAGAAATTGAAAGAGTAATAATAATTTTTATAGGGAAACTTCAACCAAGAACCACAAAATATCTTTTGCAGAATAGATGAGGTATTCAAATGGATTTACACTTTTAAGCTCCAACAAATATAATGAGTAGTAATATACAGCACACATCTAAAATAATGAAGGAGTGGCTTCACGACAATTCCGTAACTGTTCTTGAATGGCCTAGCCAGAGCCCTGATTGAGCCACCCAATTTAGCATCTCTTGAGAGCCCTAAAAATGGCTGTCCACCAACATTTACCATCCAACCTGACAGAAATGGAGAAGATCTGCAAGGAGGAATGGCAGAGAATCCCCAAATTCAGGTGTGAAATACTTGTTGCATCTTTCCCAAAAAGACTCATGGCTGTATTCGATCAAAAGGGTGCTTCTACTAAATACTGAGCAAAGGGTCTGAATAATTAGGACCATGCGATATTTCAGTTTTTCTTTTTTAATAAATCTGCAAAAGGGCAACACAGTGGAGCAGTGGGTAGCAAATCGCCTCACAGCAAGAAGGTTACTTGTGAGAGCCTCAGCTGGATCAGTTGGCTTTTCTGTGTGGAGTCTGCATGTTCTTCACATGTTTGTGTGGGTTTGCTCCGGGTGCTCTGGTTTCCCCCACAGTCCAAAGACATGTGCTACAGGTGAATTGGGTAAGCTAAATCGTCTGTAGTGTATGCGTGTGAATGGGAGTGTATAAGTGTTTCACAGTGATGAGTTGCAGCTGGTAGAGCATTCACTGCGGGAAACATATGCTGTATAAGTTAGTGGTTCATTCCGCTGTGGCAACCTCGGATTAATAAAAGGGACTAAGCCGAAATTAATAAATCTGCAAAAGTGTCAACAATTCTGTGTTTTTTTGCCAATATGGAGTGATGTGTGTACATTAATGAGAAAAAATTAACTTAAATTATTTTAGCAAATGGCTGCAATTTAACAAGGAGTAAAAAAAAATGAAGGGGGTCTGAATACTTTCGGTACCCACTATATGCTTTTTACACAGCACTTAACCCTGGGATATCATGATTCAAAACACAGCTTTGTACCCTAATACATTTAAAATGTTTCAGACCCTTGTAATTTGAAAATAGCGTTAGCTCCACATTTTACCCATGCTTACATTGTACTCATGCTTATAGAACAGTAGTTAAAAATAAAGACCCAAAAGAACAAGCAGTGTGAAGCGTAATTACAGATAAGCCAGGATTTAATTTATATAGGGTTTAGGATGAACCTTGGTTGACAATCTCAATAGTAAAATGCCCTCTAGGTCACTGAAACAATAAAAGAAATATTGTAGAGGACAGTGAACAAAAAATATAGCCATTCAGCTGATTAAAGACCAAACATAAAAGAGACTTAAGTCACATCCTTCCTGATTTCGGACCTCTGCTTCCCAGAACTAAATTTATGGGTTTGACAAAAGCTGTTAACGCACTGGAACTGCAAATTTCAACCTCAGGTGCTGTTTATACTAATGCATTTTTGTGTTAAAATGCATAGGCGCAAACCATACTGAACTGAACTAAACTGAACTTCAACACTGAAAATTGAACTGACACTTACTGACCTGACACATTACATGGACATCAGTAATTGAATTATTTGCTTTAATCCAATTAAGACAATGATAAGATTAGGGTGTTTACATGAGTTGCTTTTTGAATGTTTCTACCATGATCGCGTTTTGCATGTTATAACGCATAATTCGATTAACGTTATTGCATCAACGCACTATCCGCATTTCATTCGAAGTTTCATGCAAATTCGGGTGTTTCATTATTTAATTTGTGGACTTTAACTGCAGTTTGGAACTTTCATTTTCATTCACAAACATTTCATGCATGCCCTCAGTGACAAACGAGATATTGGATGCAACTATGACCTGCTGGAAGTTTTGTTTTTAATGGAAGTTCATACCGCATGCTGAATGGAAGAAAAAAAAAACTCAGCATTTCACGATATTGATGTCTGTGGTCTGCACTGACTGGGTAAGAGCAAAGAGTGTCAAACAGCCGTGTGTGTGTGTGTGTGTGTGTGTGTGTGTGTGTGTGTTTGTGTGTACTATCTTGTTGCAAAACGCGGTGAAAAGTCCTACATGACGGTAATAGTTCAATTAAGGTGTTTACATGTCTGCACTGCACTTCAATAATGCGAATAAAATCGGCATACTGCACACATTTTAATTCGATTTCTCTTTAGTTCGATAACGACCTTAATCTGATTAAATTAATCAAAAATCGCTGTTTACATGGTTAACTCTTAATCAGAGTATTGTCTTAATCACATTAAAATTAAATTATTCGTGTCTATGTAAACGTAGTCAATGTTTTAATTCACTATAATCTTCTATGTGAAGCTGCTTCGACACAATCTACATTGTAAAGGCGCTATAGAAATTAAGATTGAATTGAATAGGTTTTGTTATGGTTATGCCAGGCATCCACACTACTCTGGAATCTTCAACTTGCAAAAAAAAAAACGAAGGATGGACTAAAAAGCAGTCTTTTGAAAATGGAGGTATGGATATCCACAATCGCTCTCTGACATCTCTGGACTATTTCAAAGCATTCTCTGATTTGTCAGATTCCTGATGCTGGAAAAATATATGCATACCCAGTGAGCGCAAATGGTCATCTATTGGTGTGTAAAGTTTGGACAGAGATCGTTTTTCTGAAACACAATAAAAACTCCAGGCTCTACAAAGAGAGTTTCAATTTAGTGAAATGAATCAAAAATGGAATAATGTAAACATCACCTTAATGCACTCTTACAAGTGTGTATGCAACGAAAGAGCATTGTTTTTTACCTAGACAACAAGGGATAAAGTCGATTTCCAAGACAGACCCTTTCAACTTAAATGAGCAATCATCCTCTACCCAAACTACTAAAACATTGCATGTGTTAAGAATCTGCATATATGTAAATGTACATCAAATATCTTTAACAAGTCAGTACTTTCAAGAATTTCTGGCTGAACTTTTTAATTAAGAAGAAACAAGGTCTGTAATAGTGACCATTATTTGAGGTTGAGATACTTACAATGGGACTGCGACTCCGGGGCTGCATGTACTGGCTCAGTGCTCCTCTGCATTTCTCCACCACATGCTCCATCTGCAGGTAGCTGGCAGCAGTCAAGTAGTTCACAATCTCTTTGGCGCTGAACTGCAGTATCCCTGTATAACAGGACTGGAGGAGTTCAAATACCACTGTTGAGCTGTGCAACATTGAAACCTGCTGGAAAGAGAAAGACAGAGCCACTGTTTGTTCACAATCAAACCAACAATTTCAATTGTTACTTGAACGAAGGCAGCTTTACTTAGAGAATAAAGAAATAAGGAATACAGGAAACATTTCATGTGTACCAAGGGTGCCAATAGTTTGGACCACGACTGTATGTGTTGATGAATACACATTTAGAAAACAAATATGAAAACAGAGCAAACTTTTATTTCAGCACTAAGATTTCCCGAGAATATTTACTTAACTCAAATAGGTTTTCTGAACTCATACCATTGATTAGAGACAGCGTTGCTATATTTTAGAGACACAATGTTCTGGTAGCATATCAGAGCCCAAAAAAATCGAAGTAACAAGTCAGTTCTCATAGCTAGATGAGGTGTTGAAATTGGTTAATAAATAAAAGTCTATGTGAATATTTACTTTTCAGAAATGAGGAGCGCCCACGAATGGAAAGAATGAATTACATATTTGCCTGCAATGCACAACTGTGATATACAGGACCGATGTCTCTTTCTGCATTAAGTCTGTTGCACAGTGAATTCAATATGGACAACTTGGGTTTAATTTGTATCCTATTTTCAGGATACCAGTTATTGTTAAAACATTTTTTTTCATGAAATTCCAACTTAGTAATTCTAGTGCATGAGAAGTCCCTCACCTGTAGCTCTGAAGAGGGGTTCAGGAGAAACTGGTCCCTGAGAAATGCAGAGCAAGCCGCCAACACAACCTTGTGACCCCTAAACATGCGTCTGCCCCCCGCCATAATGGTGACATCACAGAAGTGCTGCTGCGACCGCAGGGAATTCATGTTATTTAGGGTGGTGTCTCCATGTCCAGGCAAACGGAAACTCACCACTTCCACATCCATGATCTTAGCACTGGAAGCTAAAGGAAATAGGGCATTTATTATATTAACAGTATTAAATAAGAACACACACAAAAATACATGAAAAGATTAATATTTACTTATTAATAAATAAATGAATTGTTTGTTGAATTTTTTGTTTGCTGTAGACTGTATTTTGTTATTAACTGAATGATATAGCCAAACATATCCTAAAAACCCTTAATGTAAAACCCTTTCGACAAAACTGGAAAAGTGTAAACTTTAGTGAAACTTTTAAAAATTATATATATTTTTAAAACTTATAATACAAAATATTTGCTAATATTACTGTAATAAAACAACAAATCAATGTGGAAGTTACATTTTACCTTCATTAACCTCTTACGTATCTTTTTATTTGTGCTACTGGTGGATGTTAATAGTTAGTAAATATGCACGTAATATGTAAAATTACACAACAGAAACATTTTTTTTTCAAAATTAGAATGATCTTATGACACTAATAACAAAGCAGAAGCACAAATGGTCATTGTTATTGCACGTTTATAACATTGTAGCTAAAGTAGCTCAACACTGTAGCATCTTTTATTTCAGCCAGACTAACAACACGCTGTTCTCGCTACTCTAAAACACGACTCCGATGAGCAATGTGAACTTACTTGATTGATTTCGAGAGAAGATATCAAAAATGGTACAGTACACAGACACGTTATGATGTCTGGAGATCAATTCAGCTCCGTCCACATCACTGCTGGAGCGAAAACGTGAAACTAAAACTATCGAGCTGATCTCGTTTAACCGTACAGAAGTCTTTTCTCTTTGTGGGTCTGCTTTCGGTCATACCTACTACATATTTATAATGTGTTCCCAGTGTTTTTAAAACAATTACAGTAAAACACGCAGAATGAAATGAAGTCGGAAAACTTCACAGGAGATTTCCAAACCGAGAGATGATTTTCAAAATAAAAGCCCCGTGTGGACAACATAAACTGACTTGGCGACGTAACGCTTAATGGCGGCTGTTTCAAGATGGTTTGTTTACTTCATGACCCGCATGCGTGTGAGGCAGAGCAATCTGAAACACATCATTTTGAAATTGTTATAAGATTACATTTAGTTAAATGCATTTGTATGTACAAATTAAAATGGCACTGTTTAGTCTGTGAATTAATCATTTTAGAAGCGTAAGTAAGCTTTTAAATTATTAATTACTTGGCGGATATTTGTATAACCACATGGAGGCGCTGTAAATTCATGATAGAAAATGATAGGACAACTACAAAGGCTGAGATTTATTTAATTGTGTAAATAGAAAATATTTGATTTGCAAAAGAATATAGAAGTGCAAATTATTAAAGTACAATACAGAAAGGTCACCAACCAATTTTATTTGTTAATATTTCTGTTAAAAGACATCACATTTTAACATACTTCTGTTATTGGAGGTCAAGATATCTCACTATATGATATTATGTTATAGTTAGTATTAATTACTAAACTAATATTAATTAAATAAATAATGTAAGTGGTTGAAGCTAAGACTGCATAGATCATCTGGATAATACTGTCTTTGAAAGATGCGTTCAATTCATGTCTCCTGAGATTTCTTCAGCTGATTTTTTTTTGTTATATCCCAGTCCTTTCAGTTAATTTACTGACAGGTGATCAAAAATACAGATCGTTGTCTGAAAGCTGCTCTTGGTTGTTTTGTTTTAATGTAATGGTTTTTCCAATTTTGATCTAATTTCCAGAGGAACTGCATTGCAGTGACAAAAATGTATGTTTTGCAAACCTTGATTGGACATATACATCACAGAGAAGTCTATTTGGTGTTTGTGTTTACATCTGGATATTTATTAGACAACATTTATCCTTCTGCAAAATGTCTATTAGACAATTGTTTGGACATTATATAAACATTACATCTTGATAAGTCATTTGGCATGCACCTTTGTCCAAAGCGTGCAAACTTACAAATGACTTACAGACATTTAAAATGTCTTTAAGATGTTTACATTTTATAATGTTTCAGCAGACCACTTAAAGTAGTAATTCTAAGAAATTAAAAACTGTAGATTCCAAACCATCTTCAATACATCTTGCGGATGTAAGTGTGCAACTTGTTAAAACCAAGGACTGCAGAAGATCATCTCTGAACACACGTGAAAACCTTGAAGCAGATGAGCTACAGCAGCAGAAGAACACACCGATGACGCTTGTGTCAGCTAACAATTAACTAAAGCTACAGTTTCTGCTTGACCGGTGCTGTAACATTCATATGGAAGGGTCAGAATTTGGCACAAATAACGAGAAAGTATAAACGTATCCTAACTTTCAGGCTGGTTGTGGTGTGGTTTATGTGATTTTTCTTGACACTCTTTGGACCTTTTAACAGTATTGCTTGTATTATGAAGTAATTACAATTATTATGATTTTACTAAACTCAAATGGCTCCACGGTCAACCTGTTTCAATCCAACAGAGGCAAGGCAAGTTGTACAAGACAAAGGTGCAAGACAAAAAGGTGCAAGACATAGAACCTTTTTAGACATGGTACAACTAGAGATTTGCATCATAGATGTGTTTGCTTGTATTAATAAGAAACAACAAGTTGAACTTTATAGGTATCATTTATTAAACATGATTTCATCAAGAAACCATCAGTTACAGTGGTTGTAAATTATTTTAAAAGGTATCAAGAGACACCTCAATGACTCAAAACCAAATAATACCAAGGTTATGAGCAATGGACTTAAACTATGTGGTTTCCCATCAAAACAGTAGATGCTAGAGACTGATAAGGAGTGATAGACTAAATACAACTGATGTAACGTCTTGCAAACTCTTTCCATATGAATAGTTTTAAATGTCCACAGTCATCAGAAATCCCACTGTACGGTTGAGGCATAAATTCTCTTGATCAGAGATAAGAGAGAAGATCAAACGGGATTTAAAACACTGCCAGGATCAAGTCCAAAAACACAATTAATATTGATAATATGCCATTTAACTCACTTCAAACAGAGTGAACCCTGAAAAAGAAAGCTATAATCTAGAGTAATGAAAAACCATATTCATCAGTCAGTGATGGAAGAATCTGATCAAAAATGTCACTTTGATTGATCAATCAGAAAGTGCTATCTTGCTGCAAACTACACTGTACAGTACATTATTACAATGACACACTTATATTTTATATCTATATCTATATATATATTATTAATCTCTTTCAATGTACAAATTGAACATCATATTTATATAAGTAAATATCAAGCATCCATGATGTAGAGTTGCTTCCACCCAGTGTGTTCTATTCATCTCCGCATCTAAAGAAAATGAATTAAATATGCCCCAACTGAATTCAGTGAAAAAGTCACGGGAAATATCCTGCTGAAATGTTCCATATGACTCTGTTACTGTATATTATAATTTCCGGGTGACAACAAAACACATTTAAAGGCATCAGAATCTACATTCTTTGTTTAGATGAAACCAAACTGATCCGGTTTTTAAGGTATTGATGAGTTTAAAGAAATCCATTCACCTTTGTCAAAATTTAAATGCGTTTCGCTTAGACTAACTGACCGGAATGGGGGGTATACATCATCATGCATGTAAACATGACAACATTTTTAAAAAATACACTCTTGTCAAAAAAAAAAAAAAAAAATTAAGTGTGAGCATTTTCTGAGAAGTATTTTCCATGTAATGAATTGGTAATGTTAAAGACAAGTGCCGCCAACCACCAAGTAAAGAGTAACTTAATGCGAGTCATATCTGTTAGCGTTCATTGGTCCACAAAGAGACATAAAGAAACTACACAGGAAAGTGCTGTTCATATTTTCTGTAAACTCATAAAGAAACAGTGCTTAATTCCTCTCTTTCTCCCCCAGCGCGGCCTGCAGCTGTCTAATTTTATCATTTATGAGAGACACAAAACCATAAATATGCCGACAGGACAAAAGGAAACCACATTAAAACCCAAACTGCCACTGCAAAGAACAACTCGCAAATATAACTGAGGCATAAGGCTGATTTCGGGACAGATTTGAAAGGACAGAAATGGTAATAACGGAGGGATGAGTCACTGGTGCATTGTGTAACATTCCCTTGCCTAGCAATCTAATTACAATAGACCTTCATTGATCTGTCAACCCATAGTCTGGGCGAATGGCCACACGTCTGGTGTCCGATATCATAAAGCTGAAACTCTAGAGCCAAAACAATAACTCTAATTTCACAACGGGTCAATTGAGATCGATCGCCAAAAAGTAGCAGCGCAATAGCCTTTGAAAGGCGATACAATGGCCACAATGCAAATCTTCAGCAATCCATGTGTAATTCTGAACTGATGCAACTAAATTGGCGGGGAAAATTTGGACACCATGTGCCGTGATTCAAAAACATTTGTAGTGCAGATAGTAAATTATAAGGTAATACAGGCTGTTGTATTGCTCTTCTGAAGAAGTACGGAGAGCAGGTCATCATAAACTCTTGTGGGAAAATAAAGAGGAAACAGTGATAAGAAATCTCCATATTTAATCCATCTTCTCTTTTTGGACCAGTTTGGGTGCATCAACAAACTCGCGTCCATTGACCACGATGACGGCAGCGGTGAGAGCACTGGCCATGCCCCAGAACAACACGTACGCCAGAGTCTCCGTCCAAGTATCACCTGATAAACAGTACAGAACAATTATTCAAAGAATAATCAAGTCGTACAATTGTAACACACATCTGTTTCAGGGTCAATGACCTATAAGGGTGTCCTATATATTTTTTTTGCAGATGTAGTTTAAAATATGAGCCATGTTGTCAAAAGCCACTCTTCCACTATCAATCCGAATGATTCTCTATGCTTAACCATTCTATTTTGTGCTTATACAGGCCAGTCAGCATGGATATGGTTTCTTTGTCCAGTGTGGTGCAGATAATAAAGCTCTCTGGCATTCAATACAAATGCGCCAGTCATTGCCTTAGTAATGCAAGTTTAACGTAAACAACCATATGGATGATGATCAGATATTTTTGTTTCGCAGATGTAACCCTGCCAGTCCTACACCACCCAACATGCTCTGAGATGGGATTGAACCGGCCACTTTCCGCATGGGACTCGGTTGCTCTACCAAGGAGACTAAAGACCATGACCTCTAGTGTCTATCACTAGAGCATGTTTAGAGGTCAGAGGAGTGAGGTTTACCTGCACAGCACTTCACTAGCTGGCCTCTGCTACACTCACCCCTCTAAACCTCACTCACATATGGGTCAAGGAAACCAATTTAACCCTGTCGGTCCTACACCACCCAACCCACTCTGAGCTGGGATCGAACCGGCGACTGTACGCATTAGATTTGGTTGCTCTAACAAAGAGACTAAAGACCATGGCCTCTTTTTCTGATATTTACTTTGTTAAATAACAATAAATAAATAAATAGTGCAATTCTAATTAAGGCTAATTTATACTCAGGCGCAGCCTTAGCGCAGTCACATTGCCCACGCCGTCGCTGATGCCGACGCGCACCTCTCAAAAAATTTGACTACATTTAGTATTCACATATATAAGTATTCACATCGCAACAACGCGTAGCGCAAGCTCTGTAATTAGTCAGCTTTGTAGCTGTGACGAGTGTAGGCCGGACCGTGAGATGTGCGAACCCGTTGGAGCGAGTGTTAACAAGTGTTGAGCCCCGTGAAGTAGCTCTAGATGGAAACTGTTGTTTTGTGTTTACCTTATGATTATTGTTGCTGCACGTCTGCCAGCTCCTGCCTCTGAATGAGCAAGTTTTAGCAACTTGTACATAAAGGTAGCATTCAGAAAAAACAAAACAGCCACAAAGAAGCACAACACAGAGGAACTTCAAAACCTACCGCCAGCTAGCGTTATGAAAGTGTTATTGCAGAGCAACGCAAACAGCACGCATAAGTATAAATGCATGACTATGTGCAAGACAGGCGTCGTGGGTCATGCCGATCACTCCACACAGAAGTATAAAATAGCCTTAAGCCTGCTATTGAGAAACATACAGCCAGGCAACAGAGTGGCAACATCAAATATGCACTCTCTACCAGCATGGCTTAGCATGATTGTCTAACCATGCCTAGAATTCTGTGCTGAGTATGGTTTGTAATCATGCTGTGCCATAACAGGATTATGTAGAAATGCAACTGGAATTGTCCTGGATATTACGTTCAGTGTGATAGTGGAAAAGAGGCAAAATTGTACTGCTTGCATTCAGGTTGGTAACAAAAAAAAGTATACATAATTATTTGTGTATATAATATTAATATTAAGGATGTTTATTATGTACACAAAAATTGTAATTGTGTTTTTTAAAGTTTTTTGGGGGACATTTTTGTCATGATTTGACAGGACAGAATGACGACCGAAAGTTGCAAGGAGAGAAAAAGGGATTGGAAAAGGTCCACAAGCATGTATTTGAACTCGGGATGCCTGAAGTGCCTTGAGTAGCAGTAGGCTATCTGCACCGTCTCCTACTTGTTTTAATGCTACACATGCTGACAATTTTTGTCACTCAAAAAATAAAATAAATAAATAAATAAAATAAATATTCATCTCAATATTTAACACTAAATTAAGCACATAATCTTCATCTAAGGTGATCATTTTCATAGAAGTTTGTGCTTTTGTTTTGACATTGCAGAAACCGGTTCTCTTCAAATAACGCCTTTGTGGATGGTTAGGACAAAAACATACAAAAAATATAAAAATATCCATTTTGACATGTGTCACAGCACGTGTAGTTAGAACATGGTGTAATGCAGTTAGAATCACTCTATAATTAAAATTATTTAGCCAAAAAAGGGAAGTTTTCTCTAATATTCTTAACATATGATTTATTTTTGTAATATCACACAAGCAAGACTTCCTGGATTAATTAACAACTATCAAGTCGCTGTGGAGTCTGACCACATGACATTCTTCATCCTCAACTAAGCTTGCCTTAATGAAATGTCATACTGTCTAATATTTTAAGAAACTTTTTGACCTTAACACAGCCATGAGAATCTGCAGCGATCTTCTCAGGGGGTGTAATTATAATTTCCCGTTTCGTGTTATCGCATATTGACTGCACCACATGACTTTGATTATACCAGTGTTTAAATATTAAAAAGCGGCTTTGTTAGATCTAAAAAAACAAACTAAATCCATGCTCATCAGTGAAGATGAGTATTCTAGGCACACAGCACACACAAATTTAATTTCAAATGTACTTTCCGAATACATTTATGCATCCAAACAACAAATGGGTGTCACGTCATTGACCCTGTTGCTTTATTCCACATTATGCTTTAATCTTACCAGCCATTAGGAGACAGATGATGCACATGGAGAAAGCCACCACCATAATAACAGGAAGCTGCAGGACAAATAACAGACACATATGAATAAAAAATATGCAGGGAATGACCAGCGGCAGCTTGTGGCGTTGAATTATAAATGTTAGGACTGTATCAGGCAGCTTGGACTAAACTTCTCTTTTAATGACCTCTTTTTTTTCTGTATTCTCTCTAACATCAAGCAATATCGTGACAGCACTGACCAAAAGAAACTTCCAGTCCTTCTTAACGTGCAGAGGCGTCAAACTATCAGTTTCATCCACGCTATAGTTCCCAAGGAAGAGATCGATGGAGTCCTGCGGGGAAAGTCAACTACTTAATATTCATGGCAGCAAACTGGGTCTGATTTCAAGACATAAAGACAATTCATACGCACTTGTCTGAAGCCATCGGAGAAATTGTTCTTGTAGTAACGGATCATTGAATTCCAGCCGTCCATTACCAAGCCCCAGTGAGTCCTCTTCCCAGTCCTGAGGTTAAAGTCGGAGGTTACAGCGGTAAATGTAATAAAAATAAAACGTAAAAAAAAACCCTGAAAGACGGATGGCATACCTGGTGAAGTCGGTTTTCAGGGCACCTGTTCCTGCGTACTGCTTAGCACAGGCATTAGCATTGTCTGCCCAAGCTGAGAGAAATAAAATATGAAAACAATAAACAAGGTTTCCATTTTAAGCCACATATCAATTTACCTGACTTTTGCATGACTTTCACCGACTAAAAAGCTTAATTTCCATAACATCTAATAAACAGAAAAACAGACCACTTTAGTGCTTTGCATAATCAGCTTGAATATAGCTTTGCAGGACATTAATAGCCACTAACAAAAGAACAACAATGCAATGACTTTTCAAAATCTGAAGTGCTTAATGTTTGTGTCTACAAAATTCTCTCTCTCTCTCTCTCTCTCTCTCTCTCTCTCTTTCTCTCTCTAATATTGATAAACTAATTGTAGTTTTACAATTTTTTTATTCAGCTTTTCTGTCGACTATTTGTAACATCCAGTCTTTGAGGTTGTTATTTTGAATACAAAGCTATTATAATTTATAGTATGTTATCCGTAGTTAAAGAGCTCTTATTTTGCATTATAAAAAGTCATATTTTGGATTGGGGTATCCAACAACAGGCTGATATGCATGCCATGTCAATAAACACTTTCATTGTCTTTTAATATGCTTTTATTTTTACCTAATTATCCTGACGACTCCCATATAATTTGTTCAGCGATTCATTTGTTCCCAAACCCCTCCCTTGCTTGATGCTAATCTGCACTGATTGGGCCGATGACCCAGTCTGTTGTGATTGGTTGACTTGGTTCAGATTGAGATGGAGAGGAACGCCCACCATGGTTATAAAGTAGCCAGAGTTCAGAGTATATGTGTGAGCCTAATGGAGGAGTGCATTAAAGGAATGCAGGTAAACACCAGCATATTGCTGTATTCTTGGCCATAACCCCAAGTAATAACAATGACCGCATTTAATATTAATCCACACAGTGGCAAAAGTCGAACTATTTTGAAAATGTGTGTAAAAACAGCTGTTGTTGGCCATAGCAGTGACAAACGGCAGTGAGTTGAGCACATTTAAATCAGTAAAGGAAGAAGCACACGTCACATTTTCAATGTGGTTTTGGACACGATATGTAAATAGCCCATAATTATTTAACCTGAAAGATACAGAACAAGCACTGATCTAAAACCGATATGCGTGGAGCAATTACAAGTTACAACACACAAGTAAATACATATTTTGTCAACAACAATAAAACAAGGTAACCATTTTAATCACACTTCACGTTGTGTAGAAAGGAGAAACACTTACAGGATCCGGGGAAAGAAGAAACTGGTCCACATAAACTGTGTAATAGTTACTGACAAAGTCCTGTACATTAATAGTCTTTGCTGATTCTTCATTTAATAACAAACAGCCAGCAAATTCTACAATGCAGCGTTTGTTATTGTATTACTCATAAGAAAAATCTGTAATCCTTGCGTCAGGATCAATCCCATATTTCCTTTTGCTCTGCTAGTGTTTGAAGGGAAAGGTGCGTTCACGTTTTACCGGATCCTGTACTTCAGGGATGTCAAACTCAATTCCTGGAGGGCTGCAGCCCTGCACAGTTTAGCTCCAACCCTACTTAAACACACCTGAGCAAACTAATTGAGTCCTTCAGACTTGTTTGAAACCTACAGGTTAGTGTGTTGGAGCAGGGTTCGAAATAAACTGTGCAGGGCTGCGGCCCTCCAGGAATTGAGTTTGACATCCCTGCTGTACTTCATATTTGGCAATGTTGATATGAGCAGGCAAAAATGCGAACTTAAAATGAATCATTCATTCAACTCTGAATTAACTCTTTCCTTATAGAATCAAAAGTTTTGACGCGGTGCACTTTTAGATTTAAACCTCAGCTGGATGTTTACCCTCACTTAGAGCTGTTACACACTGCAAGGAAGGTCACTTTTAAAAAACCCATAACAGGTACAGGCTTTTTAACAGGTACAACCTGGCTTAACTTAATCTACATTTCCAGTTTAAGAGTGTGTAAGGAATAAAATGGGACTGAAAAAAATTGTCTAACCATAACAATGAACAGCTTGATTTGAACTGAATCATTTTTAAGTTAACTAGAACTACCCCAGCATTCCACCTCTACTCTACTGCCTGCCTGACTTGCTGGAATGTTCTAAATTTTGTGCTATAGAAGTGCTAAAGAAATAAAGTTTAACTCAATTGAATCAATTTTAATTGATTTAAAAATATGGTACAAAAAATTGTAACAACTGTAAACTACAATTCAAAGTGACAAACACATTTTTTTTTAAATTCTATAATATTTCAGAAATCTCATGAACAGTGGGAATCTTGTGTAAATGCTTTATGGTCAATAATGGGAAACTTGTGTTTACTAAAGGAATCTGTGGTTAAACAAAGAAATAAACAAACCGTTTTTGTAAATCTTCTCAAAATCAGCTTGTTCCTCGATCTTCTGGCCAACGTGGAGGACACCCATCCTCTGAAATGACATACAGCCCAATATGAGGAAGTACACATGATGATAAATCAATAAGAAACCACTTTATGGATCCATATTTAGCGCCCTGAGACTTCTGCATTGCAAAAAAGTGTGGCCTGATTCACAGAATCCAGTTATGAAAACAAGGTTTACTGTATAAGCAGAACTGTTCGATCTTTTACACACTTTTGATGTTACACACGTGATGTTTATGGTATTTGGGTATTGGTATTTCAGTGGACTTCATCTCAGTAGTTAAAACTTACTAACAACCAAAAAAAAAAAAGAATAAATTTTTAAAATTCTAACAGTAAACATCTTTTAAATTTCACTTTCGTGCAATTCTCTTCATTAAAAACCGGTAACTATCACACGTGCATCAACAAATTCCTAATTTTTTGTTGCTTAGTACTTTTTAAAAATAAGTATTTAGGTATTGAGTAGGATTAGGAATGTAAAATAAGATCTTTCAGAATATGTTCTATAGATTATAAGTACTAATAAATTGTCAATATTTAAATAATAGACAGGTAACAAGCCACTATTTAACAGTTGAAATTGTTACCTAAAACTGTTAATCTTTTGTACAAAAACAAGCCTTTTTAGGGCTTTTATTGTTTTTGAAAATGTAAGACATACATAAAATATTGATATGAATTCGAATGATTAGACTTTTTTAAATTTAAAACAAACAAATAAACAAAAAACATAAAAAAAATATACAATAAAGAAAAATTAAAACAGAAAAAAATAATTTATGAAAATTAAATCTAAAATATATTTCTAACAGAAACCTAAAAATAAAAATTTTACTACATTTAAAAAATATTTGAAAGGCGTGTTTAATAATTTAAAGTCACCATGAAATGGAAGTTAAGACTTCCACAATAATCACTTGAAATGATCCTGAAATTAGAAAAAAATGAAAGATGTTGCATGATTTCATTCTTTGAGAATCAATAAGATTGTTGGAAGAATGGATAAAAGCGGAGCAGAGGCAAGACACAGCCTAACAGCCCCGCCCTAAAGGCATTCCATGTGACCAGAAATGAGTCATTTCAAGCAGGGAAGGAAAGGTTAGGATATTTGATTAAAGATTTTGAGTGCAAATACATCTGTTAAAAATAATGAAATGCACAGATACACTGTTTATAACAAGCACTACTATGTACAAATAAAGAGTATATTTTAAATAGAGTAAATAGAATTTTATTATGAATTTAAATTTAACAGACAAGTTGTCTAAAGTACAGATGTTTTCTTTTTTTAAATAATCCTTTTCCTGTTTTTCAAGTTTATATTTTAAACAGTAAACCAGGGGTGCAAAATGTTGTTAGCCAACTAAGGATGCAAGTTTCACTGTTACAAACATAGTTCATTGGTTTGGCGTTTCCCAAGCCATTATTCCAACAAATATTTGCAAACTTGTGTGGTGGCAACTACTGCTCTAGAGCTGTAGTTGTAAGCAGAGTTCCTGGCTGTGTTCTATTCTCAGTCATCCCCCCTAAGCCCTATTCATTTCTAACGTTCCAACATTTAAACTTAAAATAATATTAAAAAAAAAACATTAATCCCTCTTACATGTAATTTGCTTACAAAGTATTTTTACAGTTTAGTTTTAGCGATCTTCATATTGACAATTGCACTCCATTCATGGTGCACTTTGCAAACATTTATGCCATTTTGAAAATAGACATGGCTCATGATGAACGCTAAAGGTGACCTATGATTTAAAAGCCGAATCTACGTTTAGTCTCTAAAGCTTGTGAAAAAAAAAGAAGATAAGTTAGAGGTTTTGGAGTAGTAGGTAGCGATGTCGCCTCACAGCAAGAAGGTCACATGTTCGGGCCTCGGCTGGGTCAGTTGGCATTAGTGTATGAAGTTCGAAGTAGAATAACGAATTCAGAATTACGAGATTACAATATGTTTTAGCTTTGTGGTTTTATGTTTTTAAATAGAATATGGGATATTCTCAATAATATTTTTAAAGGAAATAAAGGCCCTATATGTGCTTTTTGCATATATTTTAATTAATATTAAAAACAAATACATGTTTTCATCAAAACAAACAATGGATTTGTTTTTTTTAAATGCATGTAAAACAATATCATTTGCACAAAAACAATTATGGGGATTTTCTCTAAAGAAGTAGTTACTCTACCCCGTTTAGAGCGTCTTGTGGAGGTTTAAGTTATAACTAACATGTTTCCAATGATGGATCTGCAACAGAGCAAATGTGGTTTTGGGAAATACTCGTCAACACATCGTTTTTTGACAAATGATGCATAATACTACGGCTGTTCAGCTGTGAGTTACACACATTGTTAGGGAAATGCAGTCCCGTCTGTAAGAAAATGGCTTGCTAATTTTCATTTGACTAAAACATTAAATAAATGTTAAAAAATTAAATACTTAAATAAACAGAATATTTTTTTTTTAATTAAAACAAGATAAAACACCATTAGGATTATACAAACCAAAAACATAATGTAATGAACATTAAAATTAAAATCAAAAGGGCGCTAAAATTGTAATTTTGTTAAAACTAATAAATTGCTGTCAAATTAAAATAATAAAAGTTTTATAATTTTAATTAATTACACACAGATAAAACTGAATGAGGAACAAATTAAATGGATAAAGTATAATTTGGAAGAAAAAGTCTGAGTAAATATTGACTTATTTTTAAATGTACCTAAATCAACCATGACCGAACAAGACAGCTTTATCAATTGCCGAACAGAGTGTTCTCATGAAAACTATGCAGAAACCAAAGAAAAAACAGTCGGCTTGCTATAATGGGAGCGTAAATGTCCTCAGCTGCGTCACATCTAGCTAATTAATGTCAGTGGTGTTATTTGTGACGGGGGTCTCACCTGTAGCTGGCTCTGCAGGGAGCGTCTGGCCAGCAGGCTCTGAATGACGTTAGTGCGGTCCAAGCAGTCCATACAGTTACTGCGGAAGGTTCCAGACTGCTCCGATAACACCTTCCCATCTGAGCTCACCATGAAGTACCTACACAATCAGCATTCAAGCACCAGATCAAAGCGAATGAGCGACAACATCAGAGACCACAGTCCCGCTGAAATGACTTGCAGATTTTGCACTTTCCATCTGCTCTTTGCAGACGCTGCATTTGTGTGCCATCTCCAATAGCAACTACATCCAAAAAAAAGAAAAGAGAAGGTACACTAGAGAAATGAATACAAACCCAAACTCCTCTTGCATGTCAGATACGGCATCAACGAGAATCTGGAGGCGATGCCATCTCATCTTACTGCACTCTTTGTGGAAATCAAAGGCTATGTACCTCAAAAGAGACACAAGTGTCAATACATGGCTGCAAATAGAAAGTATATGATCAACACATGCATGATTTTATTTTTAACAATATTATTCTAGTCAGGAAGCGAGGGAAGGTGCAGACAAAGGCCTTTTCTGATCTTTCAAACTGATATTGGAAAATAAGCTCAAACAATTTACATTGTCAAAAAAAAAAAAAGTTACATTTTAAAGTTAAAAATACTAGTTAAATGTTGAAATATATACTGAAAATAATGTCCAGTAATGTTGAAATACTGAAATAAGTTACAATTTATGAATGTAGTAAACATATTTTAATATGTATATACACTATTGTCTAGATTGAAATAATTCGTTTAACACAGGATTTGCTCTTCAGTGTTTGGACTCTCAGCAGTGAATATTAAACCACACTGAACTGAGCTAAACTGAACTGAACTTAAACTCTGAAAACTGAACTGACACGGTTTCAATTCACTATAAACTTCTATGTGAAGCTGCTTTGATACAAACTACATTGTAAAATGGCTATAGAAATAAAGGTGAATTGAATTGAATATTTTAGAAAATTAAAGTATATGAAAGTCTTTATGAATATAATCCTTCAATTTAAGCAAGGGATCAGGAATTCATCGCATAAAAACACACTCATTTTAGTGCCTGAAAACATATTAGTTTTTGTAAAATATGTGCTATAACACTCAGAAACCTTTGTTTCAGTAAGGCACTAATTTACAGGCACTGCATGAGAGCTGCTCTTTGAGAATACAAGATTTGCAGTCAAACCCTAATTTCTTTTATGAAAGACAAACTTAAAAAAATTAGTGGAGTGTGAAACCGTCAGTGTGTGTGGTCATCGGACTGCTTCTCCACAAACGAGGAGAGGGAGAAAAATCACAAGACATTGTCTCAGAAAAATAATTCCAGAAATTTCATGTTGCATAATATTGATGTCAAATTCAAAACATATACTCAGGAGATGTGTGGCTTTTGACCTTTTACTTTTCTGTGTTGCTCCAGAACAAATTTCACATATTTGTTTATGAAATAATAAAATGTTTAGAGCAGTGAATTTTGTTTTTTACATTACTTAAGCATCTATAACTTTTTATTATTATTTTGAGCATTATAAACTCTAGATGATGGATAATAAAGCCCAGAGTGTCTTCTTTCCAAAGATGCATAAACTTTAAATGTAGACCAAATCATTCAGCAACTGTAAATGGTTTAGCTTAGGAAGATGTTTTTTGAGAAAGTACCTCTGACGGTAAGGGAGAGAAGGACATTGACATAGCCTCTGAAAACTTTTTTACAGATATCTCATTTTGAATGCTAACCTAATCAAATTTAAAATATAAACTCATTAAATACTTGGCTTTCAAGTCATATCTTTACTGGGACATTATATTAATGTTTTCCTGTGTTTTTATATGGAAAACAAATATCAAACACAATACAATTTGTTTTCCTTATAACTTCATAATGTATAACTTTTTATATTTTAACACGTAACTTCATCTTTTACCACAGTAAAGCTCAAAGTGTCTTCTTTCCAATGATGCATAATTTGTGTTTGTAGCTTACTGGAGTCAGGAACTGTTACTATTTAAAGTTAGGTAGGTGTAAATCTCCAAAATTGAGTGCTGGTTAACAGGATTTATTGTATATCTGCAAACTTTAGACCAAATTAGCTGACAGATTTTAGTAATTTATTTAGTGTTTTCCACATAACTTAAATCAGTGGTTCTCAAACTTTTTTTTATCAAGTACCACCTCAGAAAAAAATTGTCCAATTGTCAGATTTGTTTCTAAGTACTACCACAATGACCAGTATTGAAATACGTAGCGTAGTGTAGCAGGCCCAGTAAAGCAGCAACAGCTCTGCACAGTTTAAAAACGTGGTAGATTAACTACTTTTATTAAGAATATGTATTATTATAAGCCACTTTAAACATTATAAATAAATAGTTAACAATGTTCTGTGCTTATTTGTAAAAAGACAAACAAACAAACAAAATAAAATGTTAACGTTTTAATAAAATGTGCTTTTATAAGTTCACTAAAAATGGTAGGCTACTGTTCTTAAAAAGTAAAAGAAAAACTGCTGTACTTAAATGTAAAGTGTTAACTAATAGTATCCTATTCATCAAAACAGAAATGCTGCATGGACCTCACAAATGTAGGCTATATGTCTTCATATTCATATATAAACCATTTTTAATAAATTCTGAAATGTATGTTGCATGTACATATGACACATTGCATTCCTCTGCATACCACTGGAAGGAAACCCGCGTACCACTAGTGGTACATGTACCACAGTTTGAGAACCACTGACTTAAATGATATTCATTCATAATTTTTCTTTTCGGCTTGGTCCCTTTATTAATCAGGAGTCACCACAGCGGAATGAACCGTCAACTTATCCAGCTTATGTTTTACGCAGTGAATGCCCTTCTAGCTGCAACCAATCACTAGGGAACTTAAATTATACCAAAATATTTTATTTAGGTAGCATGATTATCTATTATTTTAGAGTTTATAATGACATTTTACTATTTTTGAGTGTATGAACATGAAAAAAAAAACATAAAATGATGAGAACATTTGCTTTTTAAAACTTTTTTTCCACTTTCAAACAAAACACAGGATGTTTAGCACAAGTACCTTAAGAGAATCATAAATGAAAATGTTTGAGTCGCAACTCTTTTCCCTCATATCTGCTCATTCTTAATAATCAACAGAATTGGGTAAAACGCATTCCACAGTAACCCGTTACTGTATTCTAACTACATTTTTGGGGAAAGCAGTAATGTAACGAATTACATTTTAAATTTGTGTAAATTGATTACAGTTACTGAAGTCAATGTAATTGTGTTACTTGCATAACAAATATAGCTTTTAGAAGAAAAAAATCTTCTTTTACATAACGTTTTCTGCTACAACAGTTAATAAGCATGCAATTTTGACATTAATTTGATTTCATTGAGCATAAAAATAAAAATATTGCTGTGAAATGCAGTCTATTCTCTAAAGAACTTTCGATGGCTTTTAACTCGACCAGAACCTTGTTGAACACTAAAACAGGATGCATTCTACGACAACCCTCATTACCAAGGAGGACATCGGCACCCAAAAACACAGCGGTCCAACTCATTGGATTTTTGTGCAGGATCGGGAGTAAATGTATCTTCTGAATGTGAAGAGAAGCGTAGCTGCTTATGGGGCCATTCACATATCACGTCTTTACATAGCACACGCAAGTTCGTTATTTCCAATGGAGGTGCGTGGCTGGCACAAACATATTTAGAGTGCATATCGCGCATACTCGCATTTTCCAGGCACACCGGTTGAAAATCGCGAGTCACGAGACAAGAACTGACCAATCAGTTTCATACTTTACAAGGAATATACACATTTCAGTAGACTAATTATCTCAGACAAACACAGAATACGCAAACACTGCAGTGCTTTTGCATACTATGGATGTCAGTGGTTACAGTTATCCAATTTTCTTCATGTCTTCTTTTGTGAACAAACAGGATTGGAACAAGTAAATGATTAGGAGAGAATATTAAGTTTTGATCGAAAAAGTCTTTTGTATATGCCAAGCTGCTGTGATCAACCCACTGTAATGCTTTTCAGTGAATATTAAATTTCTGAAAGAGCTGCAGTTTATTTTGTATTTTTATAGGCATATTTTACATGTTTTAAATCGGTAAAACATCGGTAATGAACTGTTAGGTAAACTGTTAAGTACTTGATGAATCCATTCTCCATGCTGCTGACCATTTTGGCAAAGGCCTGTTCAAGAGGCAACTCTGATCCTTTCTGATTCACCTGAGGATAACACAATCATGTTAAACTCTGCATCTAATGACAACCAACCATCATATTTTTGCATCATTCAACCACAAGAAGGAGAAGATCATTTATTTACCAAATTTAGAATCACTTGCTTGCCATAAATAAGAACCTGTGACTCAAAATGTCTCCTGAGCCCATCCATCTGCAAGCAGACAGAGAAAGACAGATCCTTTTACAATGTTTATTATGCCATATCATTAGCATTTACTATAATCATGGCAAAATGTGTACTCAAGTAATCAAAATATAATCATAACTATTTCTTAATAATCATGCATACTACAAAAAACATTCTATTAAAATATTTAATATTGAAATAATATAAAATAACGAAGTTCGCATTCATAATGAGCCAGTCTTACGTGATTGGTGTCTTTGCTTATTAGTGGCTTGGGCTTGTACTTCAGGTTGGGTCTCTGAGACCAGAAGAATGGTATGGAGCCTCGAGTCTTTGACAATGAAAGAGCAAAAATTAAACTCTGTGTGATGCATTCTGGCATGTCATTCACAAATAACCTTGAATGAGAGGGCAGTGTGTACACCAACCTGGACAAAGGACGCCCTGGCATTATTGAACTGGACTATCTGTTCTGTCTCGACGAAGTTAGCAGCATGTCCTTCTGAGTCAATGCCTGAGGTGTAGGGAAAATATATATATATCAGTAGCAAATATAACCTAGGCAAATACATATACATGCTTGACTATATCTCACCTCTGACATAATATCGCACCCCTGCTCTGAAACAGCTCCGTCTAGAGATGATGATCCACTCAAACACTTTCCCATTGATGCAACACGGCTTCATCACAATAACTGAAGCAATGAGTTAAGGCTCAATTTCACACAGATTTACCAAACACTTCAGTGTCATTCAGGGATCGTATAATCCAAAGCAATTTGATGGAATGAATTAAAATGTATTTAATGTCATATATAACATTTTCAATTAGATAAAACTTTAATGTTGGCCTGGAGAAAAGGTCGAAGGCGTTTTATCTCATAGGTTGGTTTTGTAGTTGCAATAATGTTGCTAGGTTGTTCCTAGGGTGTCTAAATGCAGAGTTTAACGTAGTTGTAGCTTGCTAAATTGTCAATATGCTTTTGTAATGTATTCTAAGTAGTTACTAGATAGTTGCTAAGGATTTTAAACTGGTTGCTTCTGTGTGGTCAGATTAATTAAGGACCAAGCACCTACGGTGCGTAGGTCCTATTGGAATTGCTCCGTTTCTTATTATTCTTCTTCCACTTCTTTTCCGGAATGAATCGCGATTTTGAGGGACTAAACATGCCTGAAAACTCACGAAACTTTGCACACGCCCCAGAAGTGGGGCGTTTTTTATAAGTTTCGGAAGTGGGCGTTGCAAAATGACTCGACAGCACTACCTATGCACTTTTGACGGACTGGCCTCTGAGCTACAATTCACGCATACATACGAAATTGGCACACACGTCAAACAAGCCAAAACCAACAATAAAAGTCTCCTGGTGCGAAATCTCAATCCCAACAGGAAGTCAGATATTTTTAACTTCCTCTGCCGAAAAAATGCATTTTGCCATTTACAAAGGTTGTTTTTTACGAACTCCTCCAAGGGATTTTATCCGATAAACACCAAATTTGGCTTTTGTCATCTAAAGGCCTTGGTGATGTTAGTTTACGAAGATCTAGAGTTTTTGTTGAAGGGCGTGTCTGTGGCGGCCTCGCAAACTTTGACGATTCGCCACGAAACAGGAAGTTGCTATAACTCAGGCTGGCATTGCCCGATGTGCCTCAAAATTCACACGTTTGATAAAAGTCCCGACCTGAACACGTTTACATGCCAATATCCAGATACAGTTATAGCGCCACCTGCTGGCAACAGGAAATGACATGTTTTAAAGTGTTACAAACTCCTCCCACAAATGTTATCGTATCAGCCCCAAATTCGGCTGGTGTTATCTGAAAGCTTTAGCGAGGATATATTGTGAAGATCTTGAGTTTTCGCCAAAAGGCGTGTCCAAGGCAGCCTGACAAACCGCAGTGATTCGACATGAAACAGGAAGTACATATAACTTAACCGCACAATGTCCGATCTGCAATTGATAAGATTCCTCTCCTGAAGACATCTACATGCCGATATTGAGTCATAGCGCCACCTGCTGACAGAAGGAATTTTGGCTAATAACTCAGCCAAACAATGTCTGACCTGCCAGAACATTTGCATGTTCCAAAAAATTCCTCTCCTGAAGGCATCTACCAGCCAACATTGAGTCACAGTTATAGCGCCACCTGCTGACAGGAGGAAGTTTGGCATAAATCTGTGATTTTCTCAGATTTTTTAAATATATCAGCTCAAGTTATTATTGTTCGCTGTTCTCTGTCATCCTGAGGCCACCGGACGGCGGTGAGCCCTTTGATAGCTGCTTGCAGCTTTCATGTAGTTTTGTATTACTAGGATGATAACATGTAGTTGCTATGGTACTTAAATTGGCTGCTAGGCTGTCGCTAGGCAGTTACTAGAATGTACAGTGTGATTAAATTACATTTGTAAGGGTTTTGTTTTGCTAGGGTGATGATATGCAGTTGCTAAGGTATTTTGGGAGATGACAAGGCTGTTGCTAGGCTGCTTGTACACTGTTCTGTGCTTCCAGGTAAGATTTGAAGTAGTTTTATCTTAATAGGATTTTATGTGTAGTTGCTAAGGTGTTGATATGGAATTGCTAAGGTATTCTGTATAGTTGCTAGGCAGTTTTTAGACTACTCTGTTTGGCCATATGGAATTTAAAGACGTTTTATCTCGCTAGGGTGTTATGGGTTGTTGCTGAAGTGTTTGTACAAAGTTGCTAAAGTATTCTAGCTGGTTGCTAGGTAGTTGCTAGGCAATTGGAACTGGTAACGAGGGTGTTTTGTGTGCGCAGATAGAATTTAAAGTAGTTTTGTATTCCTAGAATGATTTCATGTAGTTGCTATGGTATTTAAATTGGTTACTAGGCTCTTGCTAGGCAGCTAATAGGATGTACAGTGTGATTAGATTACTTTTGTAAGGGTTTGTTTTGCTAGAGTGATGATGTGCAGTTTCTAAGGTATTTTGGGTGATTGCAAGGCTGTTGCTTGGCAGTTCCTAGGTTAATCTGTGCTTCTGGGTAAGGTTTGAAATAGTTTTATATTATTAGGATATTATAGGTTGATGCTAAGATGTTGATATAGAGTTGCTAAGATATTCTGTCTGGTTGCTAGGCAGTTTCCAGACTGCTCTGTGTGGCCATATGGAGTTTAAAGACATTTTATCTTCTTGGGTGTTATGGGTTTTTGCCAAGGTGTTTGTACAAAGTTGCTAAGGTATTCTGGGTGGTTGCTAGGCAGTTACTAGGATGTCTTGATTGAACTGCTCTGCTCTATATAGTGTTTAAAGAAGTTTCATCATGTTAGGGAGCTATGGGTGGCTGCTTACTAACAGTCAAGGCACAATAAAGAAAGCAACTAAACTGTAAACTTTGTTAAATACACCACATGACTTCTTTCAAAGGATACATCCGTGGATGACAGGAAATGCAAATTTATGGAGCTGAAAAGAGGAAGCGGTGAATTAGTATGTATGCTTTTCCCTTATATGAATGTTTTATGAATAAGGTATATTTTTATACCTCGGGCTGTGCGATGATTTCTCTTAAAAGGTTTCCGTTCCACATGAACCTCTGGTCCGCCTGTGTGGAGAGATGAGAGAGAAAACCAAACTAAGCAACTCCAGAGATCATCTGAAAAGCTGATGTTGTTTTGAAGACTCTTTTACATGATGAACCATGCTCAGGAAGTTTGAGTGCACTGAATTTGAACTTTAAGAAATAAATATATGGTAGGCATTTATAGAGAGAGAGTTGGGTTCAAGACAAACTGCAAAAAAATAAAAAATAAAATGTGTCAGAAGCCAGACACAAAAGCTGAGCTCAAACTCTGGCTTTGAAAAGATGAAAATAAACTGTGAGGGAAAACACAGTGCGTGCCAGCATGTCAGCAAGTGTGCTTGTAAAACAAGAGCACTTTGTAGCTTAAAAAGAGAAAGCACATCTCCAGTGACGGCCCTTTATTGTAAATGAGGGATGCAGTCTGAGACAATGAGCTGACCGGCCTTCTGTATGTAGCGGCTGATGAAAACCTGCACCCTGCTGTGTTTTACTTTTCTCTCTCTCTCTGTGACTGGAGCTTCAAAAGACTCACCCTCTCCAGCAGGCTCATCTCCTGAAAGTCCGGGCTGGTGTTGGACAGGCGCTGCTGGGTGTGGGTCAGGTCGTAGTCCGTGCAAAAGTAGAAGCCGTCTGTGTTCAGTACATTGTTAATCATAGTCAGAAATGTCTTGTTGTCTTGCATCTGTTAGAAGAAAATAAAAAAAAGCCATTGATGGAGAATCTTGACAATAGATAACGTGAACAAAACAAAACTTGATTTGATGTTAATTGTTAATTTGCATGAAGCATATTTCTGAATATATTAATGTCAAAGAATAAATACAAAAAGAAAGGACTTCACAGAGAGGAAGAGGAAAAATAAATAGAAATAAATGAATAAAAGTTGGGAATTTAAGCAAAAGGCAACTAAGGCTCATTTATTCCAAGGTCAATCATTAAAATGATCTTATATTCATTCATTTTCTTTTCCGCGTAGTCCCTATTATTCTGAGGCCGCCACAGTGGAATGAACCACCAACTTATGCAGTATATGTTTTGTGCAGCGATGCCCTTTCAGCTGCAACCCAACACTGGAAAACACCAATACACACTCATTCACACACATACACTACAGACAATTTTAGCTTACCCAATTCACCTAGACCACGTCTTTCGACTTGTGGGGGAAACCCATGCAAACACAGAGAGAACATGCAAACTCCACACAGAAATGCCAACTGACCGAGCCAAGGCTCGAACCAGCGACCTTCTTGCTGTGAGGCGATCGTGCAACCCACTGCGCCACCATGACGCCCTAAAATGATCATGAAATTTATTATATATATATATATATATATATATATATATATATATATATATATATATATATATACACACACACACACACACACACACACACACACACACACACACACACACACACACACACACACACAACAGTTCTGTCTGGTTCTCAAATATATTTAGATATATTTAAGTAAAATAAGCACCCATACAGCCTCTTTACCCTTTGTGTATTACTCCGCCCACATACAGCAAGCAGCAAGCAGACACTACAGATCTAAAGTTTAAAAGATGCTTGCTCAGCTGTTTAACTGTCAGCTTATGATTTGAATTCAACGCAGAAGAAAGTAGTTCCTCATACAAAAGGGTTTTTAAGACTCTCCATGTTTGATTTTGTTTATATATACACAATTATGCCGTCAAACTGTTGTATGAACGCAATATCACACTCGTAGCAGTGCGATATGGCTGTATATCGGCACTGGTGGGGGCACTAAGGTACTCGGCCTGCGACCTCGTGCCAGCATACAGACATATCGCGCTGCCACTCATGTGATATTGCTCATATATATAGAAATTTTTAAGTATTAATGATTAATTAGTAAGGATTAATAATATACCTATTAATAATAAGTTATTTTGTATTTTAAGGTCTTTTAAATATAATCTAACTGTGATAGAATTGGGTTTATATTTAGTCATAAAAACTGAAAAATTGAAAAACAAATTTGTCAAATTTAATCAAAAAAATGTGTAGGTACACACGCACGAACGCACGCACGCATGCATGCATGCACGCACGCACGCACACACACACACACACACAAGGTATCACTATATAACTGTATATGTCTGAATATTTATATTAGTATTTACATTAGTTACATTAGTTGTCAAAAAAAGTAAAGTGTGTGAATGCGCACTTCAGCATCTCACTGGAATTAGTAGGGCGTTGGAGTACATTTCACCTATTGTTTTTTAAATACTATGAATTTGAATGTACTACACTGCTACTGTGCTGGGTGTAATGAATTACAAAGTAACTTAAAGTTAAATAAGTTAGATAAGTTCAAATACGTATTGAATGAAAAATGTACAGTAAAGTAAGAATTATTAGCCCCCCATTGGCTTTTTTTCCCCCCTTCTTTAAATATTTCCCAAATGATGACAAACAGAGCAAGTGAATTTTTACAGAATGTCTGATAATATTTTTTCTTCTAGAGAAAGTCTTATTTGTTTTATTTCGGCTAGAATAAAATATTTTTTTATTTATTTTTTTAAAATCCATTTTAAGGTAAAAATGATAGCCCCTTTAAGCTATTTTTTTCTTATAATCTATAGAACAACCCATCGTTATACAGTAACTTGCCTAATTACACTAACCTGCCTAGTTAACCTAATTAACCTAGTTAAGCCTTTAAATGTCACTTTAAGCTGTATAGAAGCGTCTTGAAAAATATCTAGTAAAATATTATTTACTGTCATCATGGCAAAGATAAAATAAATCAGTTATTAGAGATGAGTTTTTTAAAACTATTATGTTTAGAAATGTGTTGGAAAAAAAATCTCTCTGTTAAACAGAAACTGGGGAAAAATAATTCAAGCAGGGGGGCTAATAAATCTGACTTCTACTGTAAATAGATTATTGTCTATTTTAGGTAATTACACATACTTGTAATGTAAATAAATGCATTCAACAGTTCTGTATGAATCAGATGCACCTGATTAAGAAACTATGAATTGAGTATGAAAATATTTATTAACAGTATACGGTATAAATTCAGAAAAGCAAATTAATTGTATTTTTTGTTATTCAGATATTTTGATGGTTACATTTGTCAGCCAATATTACACGGTTATTAAACAATACATTTAATCATTCATTCATTAATTTTCTTGTTGGCTTAGTCCCTTTATTAATCTGGGGTTGCCACAGCAGAATGAACCGCAAACTTATCCAGCACGTTTTTATGCAGTGGATGCCCTTCCAGTTGCAACCCATCTCTGGGAACAATGCATTTAATTTGATGTAAACAATCTAAGGCATAGGTCTCAAACTCAATTCCTGGAGGGTCGCAGCTCTGCACAGTTTTGCTCCAACCTTATCAAACACAGCTGATCCAAATAATCGAGGTGTTCAAAAGAGTCATGAACATCACATTAGTTAGATCAGCTGGGTTTAATCAGGGTTGGAACAAAACACAGGAATCAGAGAGTGAAATTCGATACCTTTTAAGACCTTTTTTAAGACTCGTTCCATACTTTTAAAGACCTTATAACCACTTTGGATTTTAAATGGACACACTTTCGAGATTTAACCTTACAGTATATTTACTAAATATTAATGTAAGAAACTAAACCTAACCTAACACATTAGTAATGTACTGAATAAAAATCTATTATATCTAGCTAATTCAGCAGGTTAGCTGAAATAATGGTGTTGCCTTGGTTACTACAGCAGCCTGATGTCAAATCTAGCAGGATTTCACTGATTTCATAAACTACACAGCATCCTGATGTTCGCAGATTTAATTCAGGCAAACTTTAGCATACAATGGTACATTGCATAATCAAAAATTATATAACATGTAAAACCTTGCAAAAACAGCATTTTAGACTTTTTAATACTTTTTAAGGGCCTTATATTTCTCTACATTCATTTCTCAACCTCTAATACTTTTTAAGACCCCGCGGACACCCTGAAGAAGAAAATGCAATTGCGTGTCAAATAAGATAAATAAAAGATGAAATACAAAAGGTGCAGGGCTGAACTTGAGAACACCCATCCGTCAAAGCATGACTGAGTGGAGATGTTAAAAAAAATGCAGTTTAAACACTTTGGTATTTCATTTATGTATTCCAAACATGCATTACTCACATGTTAATCAGTTTTAATACATCACACAGCAATCTCACTTTACCATATAACATTCAGTCTTACTGAAAACAAGCTTTGCTACCCGTGCAGATGCCAAAAAGAACAAAGCACCCAGCCAGTCTCAGTATATCTGTTCTGTAGTAACAGGGTCAACTAACCACTAAGCTCAGCTCTGGGAACGAAGTAGAACAGGAACAACCTGATCCAATCTCGGCTCCCAGAAGAACCTGGTCAGCAGAACCATTTGCCTTTATTAAGCAAGCTTGTCTCTCAATGCAGCTATTCCCATCCGCTCAACTCTGGACTAACAAGAGTTTATGTTTAAATGCAATAGTCAACATAAATCGTTATGCAAATAATTCATGCATGGACTCATCACCTGCCAAAACCAGGGGAGACAACAGATTAGCAAACATGTGCATTAATCTCAGCTCTTTAGCAGGGAGGCCAGCACACAAACACAGCTGAGACTGCAAAACGCAATTGGATTTTATTAATGATGGCAGCCTGAGATATTTGGGACAAAATAATGCAGACAAGAATTCACTGCAGACTTCATGCCCTTACATAGAGAGGTTTGCAGTTTACTTTATCATTCTAGTTGGTCCCAACCATCAAAACACTTGCTTAAACCCGAACACGAAACGCTGTCTGTGTCCAGTACTGGTCCATTCACAGGCTGTACCCAAGGCCAGGATTTCAGCCTTGCTAAATAATGCAGAAAGTATACAACACTGTAATGAGATATCACTGTGCTCCAAGCTTAAGCTCAAATGAAAAATTTACTGTGTGAGTACTCCCCGCTTTCATAAGCCGCGGGTGAATCTGCTGTGTCTTCCACACAGCACTTCTGAGCAAAGCGCAAATGGAAATATCGAAAAGTTCAGAGCAAGGAAATCTCTTGTTGTGATTTACAGACGCAATGGGCAACTCATCAAACAACAAATGACATTTATAGCCCACTTCTGGTTCAAGGTGTGACAAACATCAGCATAAGTCTGAAAGTTGAGGTTAGGGACTTTGCTGACCTGAATATCTGTGAGGTGCAAAATGGTCTTCTTATAAGAAATCACATCAAACTCCACCGCTTTCCACACAGTGTGGCCAAACAGGTCGCCCACTTTCCGCTTCCGGGTGATGACTATGAGGTACATCCCTGAAGAAGCCAAAACAAATCATGCAGAATGCTGAGCAAGTGTTTATATGGTACAATTAACTAGGGTTGTAATATATTGGCATTGCGATATTTTGTTTGTATCTGATATATTTCTTTTTTTATTTACAGTGCTCAGCATATGCAAGTACACCCCGCACAATGTTATATTTGTGCATATAATTAGATTAGTCACTACTGAAGCTACATCTGGAGCTTACCTAACAAAATAACTTACAATAATGGTCCAAAACTAGTTCATCCAAATTTATGATGTAGAAAAATATTAAATACAATTTAAAAAATAGGAAAAATCAAGAGAAGCAATTTTTTTTTTTAAATTTACTTAAAATTTTGTAGGTTGTTGTTTCTTTTTTCAATATTTTGCTTAAATTTAATTTTATTATTTTTGGATTTCTAAATATATTTATATTGTTTAAATGCACCACAATGCATTGCCTATAATCACGGAGAAATAGATAAATATATTCATTTTTAAAATGGGGTGTACTCAGCTGAACACTGTATGTTTTGAATGCCACATCAGCAGCATTGGCTATACTCATGGCAAAATCTATACTAAATATACAATATATAACAACCAATCAAATCAGTTTTTTAATAAACATTTATTGTACAAAAAAACATACAAAAACCAACAACACTGAAAAAAGTCAAATACAATCTTTTAGTTTGATTAATGATATTCTCAAATTCCTCCAGAAGACACATTTTTGATCATTTCCCTTACAATATTTCCCAAATAAGAACATTCTCCAATATCATTTAAAAATACACATTCTATTAAAATATCTAAATATTCTTAAATAAATCACAAAAAGGCTTTTCTTCCCATTTCAATAAATATGAGTGTGTAAGTCTTGAGTGTCCAATTCTACATCTCGCATGGGTAACCTGATCATGTCTGTTTCTGTTTCTGTTCTTTCATTTACAAATGGATTCACTAAATACACTTTGTTGTTTTTACATTTATCCCATTCCATTTGCAATTTCTCATTTATATACAAGTTTAAAGCAGCTTTAACATCAGAAACAGGAATTTTACATTCTGTTTTCTCCAACTATAGGGCTTCTTTAGCTGCTCTATCTGCATGTTCATCTCCAATCAATCCCATATAACCAGGTAGCAAAAAATGATAGTCTTTTTTGTGTCTCTGATATATATTTATTGATGTAACGATTTACCGTGACCAGGTTGAAAATCGATTAAAATATGTGACAATTCAAATCGGTAGAAACGCTGAATGAATCTCGATATAATTATTGAACAGACGGGGCGCTGTGTTTACAGGTGTTACAGGTTTACAAAATGTCAAATCCCAGCACAGTCACAGTTTTAGTTTATTTATATTAATAAATCTTCTTTAGTTTAGTCTTCTTTTAGTTTTTTTGTAATTAATTTGTTTTTAAAATAGCATAGTTTGGTTATTGTAGAAAATGTATTATTTTATTTATACATCACATTTCTATGCAAAAAAATGTGCAGCATTTAAGAAAAAATTAAATGGCTCTTCACCTCAAATTTGTTTCAAATAATTTCGTACAAAATCGTGACTAAATTGTATCGTGAGATTAGTATCGTGAATCGTATTGAATCGTTAGGCAGGTGAATCGTTACATCCCTATATATAGTACAACAATAACACCATTTCACATGGCAATTTATAACTATCTGGAAAGAATGAATAATTTTTTATTATTTTGTAGAGGAGTATGTACATGAAATATGATAAACCAATTTCATGCATTGAATTCAATTGAACAAATATAGAAGATGGTACAGAAATACAATAATCTTCCTTTTAAAAATAATTAAATACAATTAATCTTTGGTAAAGCCTCAAACCTTGTAAATAACTTCTATATACTACTTTTACTGAAATTTTACACTGTCATATGTTATAAAAACCAAATTAAAATCATTCACTCTATTAGGTTTAATTTCTTTTGCGATTCAATTTATCTTTATTTTCTTAGTACTTTTGCCATGTAGAATATGTCAAAGCAGCCTAACATAGATGAATAAAAGAGAGTAAATAGCTGTAATATTTTAAATAGTTAAATTGAAACTGCTTGAAATGATGACTCCATAAAAATCCCATTTTGTTGTGGCTGGCTATTATAACCCCAACCCGACATTGGAGATTTGCACATTTATATGCTGAAATGATGTATTGTGGAGCCGTACAATTAATGCTATGTGGAATATAAATAAGGTGGGGCCTACCAGCTACCAGGCGAACAGTTCCCATGACTCCACATATGGGCCTGGTTATGCCTGATGGTGGAATGTCCTTAATACCTTCAAGTAGAAAAAAAAAAAAAAGTTATTAATGCATCATTCAAATTTACATTTTGCAGACTCAACAGATTTAAAACACTTCTCTGCGTCAATGAGAGGAAGTAACAGCTTTGTGCTTTGCTATTCCTGGAATACACCTTTAACAAAAGACCACAGCAACTACCTCAAAAGTAAAATGTCACACTGACGGTACTGACGAAATGTCACTTTATAGGGAGGTCAGCATTAAAACAATGAACTACGATGAAATCCAAATAGCTGCCATAGCTCTTCATCGATGCCAGGACACTTTGAAAGGTCTGATTCCTCAGGAAGTTGTAACTGTTCATAAATGTCAGATCAAAGCTGCACATTCTATAAATCTTTCGCTAGTACTTTTTCATATAGTCAGAGAAATGAGGTGCTTAACCTTCGGGAAACATTCATCACCAACCTCCAGATAATAAATGAGCATTTTAATGGGGATTTTTTTTATTCTCTATTAGAAACCTTGAGATAGTCCTCCAAAAATGAAAATTCTGTTATCATTTATTCACCTTCCACTTTTGCAAACACTTTTCTGCTCAACTTTTTCAAGATTTAAGATAAGTCTTTTGTGTCTCCAGAATGTGTCTGTAAAGTTCCAGCTCAAAAAAAACATCCGATTATTTATTATAGCTTTCAGAATATTGGAACTTTCTGCTCTGAATTTAGCCGTTTTTGTTGCCTGTGCTTTAAATGCTTGTTCTCCCACAGTGACAGACATGAAGGAAGCAAATCTCATGTAACATTTGTGAGAAAGAACTTTCCCAATGATTATTTGATGTAATTGTTGTCTTGTTGATTTGATTATAAGCGTTACTACAAAAACTATAAGTCTTAACTAAGTTAACTTAGTTAGAAGTTATTATGCGGCTGTCAATCAATTTGGTTGGTGGGGAAACCGCTACCCTACGTCACGTTGAGGTGGGCCTCAAAATGAGAGAGATTTGGATCCTATTTTAACATCAGAAAAAAAAAAAAAAAACAGACTTATTGTCTTTATACAACACCAATATGTCTGTGGACAGACTATACCTACACACAGTTCTGTCCAAACTGCTTACAAAAGATGATTTTCATCATTGGTGCCCTTTAATGTGTCCTTGCCAAATAAATGTAATTTAAACAGCTTCTGTACAATAAAGTTAATTGAATTAATTTTTATGTCACGTTGCAAAGATTATTAAGATGATCATATACAGATGGAGTCAGAATTATTAGCCCCCCTTTGATTTAGTTTTTCTTTTTTAAATAATTACCAAATTATGTTTAACGGAGCATGGAAAATTTCACAGTATGTCTAATAATATTTTTTCTTCAGGAAAAAGTCTTATTTGTTTTATTTTTGCTAAAGTAAAAGCAGTTTTAATTAAAAAAAAAATTTTAAAGGTCAAGCCCCTTTAAGCTATTTCTTTTTTCCATAGTCTACAGAACAAACCATCGTTATACAATAACTTGCCTAATTACCCTAACCTGCCTAGTTAACCTAATTAAGCCTTTAAATGTCACTTTAAGCTGTATATATTATTATTTACTATATTGTTAGTATACTACTACTATATTAGTAATGTAGTACTATATATTATTATTTATATAAATATTATTTACTGTCATTATGGTAGGGATAAACTAATTCAGTTATTAGAAATTAGTCATTAAAACTATTATGTTTAGAAATTTGTTGAAATTTTTTTCTCTCTCCGTTAAACAGAAATTGGGGAAAATAATAAACAGAGGGGGCTAATAATTTTGACTTTGACTGTATGGTGCCGAAATTTTAATAAATCTATTTTTGTTTGTTTGCTTGCTTGCTTGCTTTAGGGATCATTGAAATATTATAGTAATGCATAGTGATTTCAAGTGAAAATCAAGAAAAAAAATACAAAGTTTTAAAAGAGGGACACCAATATATCTGATATGTTAAAGAGCATCCCAATTGTAAACATTTGCCTCTATAAAAACAGACTCTGGTGCAATTTGTAAATACTGTATTAGTGTTATTCATTTGAATAAGTTTGAATGCTGTCATTCGATGCCTGCTGTATAAAAAATGTCTCTCAATCAAATGGAAACAAATGAACAATCTCTGGTTCAAGGAGCAACAAAGAAAAATACAATATATTTAGTTTGGTATATTTAGGCTCTGTCAAAAAATGACACAGTAAATGCTAAATGAATCTTGACTAAATATATCACCAGTTTTTTCTTTTTTCTTTTTTTTGTTTAGACCAATTATTCAGTGCCCAACAAATGTGGATGCACCACAAAACATAATTATAAACTAACATCACAATAGACAGTACATTTGTTGAATTCAAAATGAATTGAAATTGGAAAAAATAGACTTCAAATCAGTATTATCAAGGTGTACCTGCAAGGGTCATCTCGGTGGACACCCTATCAATGACCAACACGTCATCAGCTCCATCATCACAGGCCTCAATGTAGAACTTCTCAGGTGTGGAATGCCTATCAAGTCAGGAAAGCCAAAGAGACAAGAAAAATCCGTAATTGTGTTTACCTTTAACAAATAAAGCAACCTCTTCTGATTAAAATGATTGAGAATGGCATGTCTTTTCTTTCCTAATTGTGCAGGGAAATGTGGCAGTTAGTTGCATTCTAGAAGCAAATACCATAGAGACTATGATAATGTGATAAACAGTATTAAGTAAAAGGGATTTGGATTTGAGAAAGAATTGTATGCAATACAATAAGATTTCGAAATAGTGATAATATCAAGAAGATGAACTGGTGTCAGAAATGTAATAACTTTAAATTCATCCTCATCTCAGACCATCTGGAGAGAGCCGATTTGCAGCAAACTCATAAATCAGAAGTGAAAAGCTTTTCATGTTCAGTTGCACATTTTTAAAATACAGTTCATAGTAAACTACAGATCACACATAGATCGTAATGCATACAATTACCTCTTATATCTCTGCTTAATGCATAAATGCATGAGAATGCTGAGCAACCACTTTTTGTGCACCATTTGATGCGTCCGCAACCTGCTGCACTCGCACGGTTAACCTCAGCCCTACTGACAATGACTGCGTAACAAGGATGTGGAATACGAATTTCAAAATTGACTTGCAGTTGTGAAAATCTGGGTTTGACGATACACAAATGTAACACCCTTTTTGCATTCACAAAGCCAATTAATCAGGTCATGCAATAAACTCAATAGAGACTCAACATTTGACACATAATTTCTGGAAATGTGTCTAGTTTCTGCAAGACAGAATACAGTCATTATAGCCTACGTGTGCAGTAAACTGGGTTTAATGAAAATGTCTCAGCAAACCCAGTGTTTGTAGAGCAAGAGATTCGTGATAAATATTCCATTTTTGTTTTTAACCAGTTTTCTCTTGGCTGTAATGCCTCTGACATGTTTGTGTTATGCTGTTGAAAGGCTATTCATAAATCCACCTTTCCACTGCACACGACATTCGGACATGACTGACAGAATACGCCCCATGTGACAGTCGCACAGGATTTGTAGTTTTGTCGTCCACCATACGAGAGAAGCTGATTCTCGGGGTGTCCGAAATAAAGGAGTGCAAAAGCAAGAGCCTTCCTTCTCTGTGCATTCAACATGGTTAATTGAATGAATGAATGAATGAATGAATGAATGAATGAATGAATGAATGAACGAATACTAGAAACTTATAGACCTCAAAAAACTTGTAGAATGTGGAGACAACATTAAATAAATAATATTTTTATTCCTCATTTATAAATAGAAATGTTTTTTAATATAGACTTTTTTTCTGATTAAAAAATAACAAGAAAAATACTTCATCTCGTGCACATGGACCTGCTAGGAGAACACTTGAATACTTCACATCCGGTCGGCTGGTTACATGCGGCCTAGTCGCAGGTGTTCAAATATTTCAACATATCCGCAGCTCAAATTGGATCTGAATTTTCCGCATATGGAGATGATCGGAACTCCACGCAGCTCCCAGACTACTTACAATTGGAAATAATGACTTCCGTTTGTCGTGTGCAGTGGAAAGGCGGCTTAAGACTCAAAAGTTTACTGAAAACCTGTACACACTAGGGCTGTACGATATATTGTTTCAGCATCGATATCGCAATGTATCAATCTGCAATAGTCGCCAGATGTTAAACAATTTCAAGTGAATTTAAACCATTTGACCCATGGTGCCTGCCTTGCGTGTTGCTGCCATTTATACTTCTGCGTGCTGTTTGTGTTGCTCTGCAAAAACACTTCTGAAATGCTAGCTGGCAGTAGGTTTTATGTTCCTCTTTGTCAAGTTTTTTCGCTACAAGTAGCTAAACATTCTCATTCAGAGGTGGGAACCAGTGGATGTGCAACAACAATAATCATAAAGTAAACACAAAACAAAAGTCTCCACTTGGAGTTTTTCTTTACGGGACTCGACACTTGTAAAAACTCACTCTCATTGCCGCCCAAACTCGTCACCTGTTCCAAGCCAACCAATCACAGAGCATGTGATATGCGTCATTGCGATGTGCAGTTACATTTTTAGAGAGGTGCGCGTCAGCCACAGCAACCGCGTGAAGGCTGTGCCGGACTATATGCGTGCGCTTGACGCAGGAGTATAAATCAGCTTTTAGACTTCACGAAAAACCATAAAGCACTGTTTATTTCATTTTCATCTTTATTCTATTGTTTTCAACTGTGCTTAAATTTATTTTTATTTTGCATATCTTAAATTTGGTTTACAATTTTGTATGTTTTTATGCTAGGGTAAAATTGTAAACCAAATTTACGATTACATGATTGGAAATCAGGCCTGATCACACGGCTTCAGACTCGATCGGAATCGGACGTTAACTCCTGATCAGGACTCTAATATATGTATATACAGTAGAGCTGCACGATTCTGGCTGAAATGAGGATCGCGATCTTATTGCTTAAAATCAAGATCATGATTTTCTCATGATTCTGTAGACGTAAAATAAAGCATAATATGAGTCAGCAATTATTATTGTTTTTCTCAAACATATGGTAAAACAACAATAAATGTTATGTGTAGGTCTACAGGTTTAAATAATTCTATTCTCATTATAATAGTTCTGATGTTGAATTTTGAGATATATGCTTGCAATCTGTCATTGACAACATTATTAGATCATTTAATTCACTGGTACAATCAACATTATAAAGGCTAGAGTAGTTACACTGACACTAAACATTTATTTTCATGCACAACTGTGTTCGCCATGAAAGAAAAAACATCAAATGCTTGTAGCAAACATAACTCTAAAATGCGATATGATTATTTAAATGATGTGCACGCTTTCAGTTTCATCTTAACTGCTAAGTGCTTTTCATACTTCGCACGCAGCTCTCAAACAATTACTCTGTGCCACAAACTGAATATTATTTACAACTCTATTACCTGTTACTCACAGCCTATGCAGGTTCTGTTCACTAAAGTAGACGCGTGTACATCAATCAAGTAAGTTGTGCGCCCGCCCTCTCTGTGGTAACAGCTCAGCAGCTCACACCACGTGTGATTTCCCGGCCGCGAATACAGCATTATATGAAGACAAAAATGAAATTTTTAGGTGAATTATACCTTATAAATACAGTATGTGACTCTTTCAACATTATTTGGAGGTGTCCATGTTGCTGAGCAATGTATGTGAAACAATGAAAAGACTTGTGCAGCCGCCTTTGCTTCTCTCCAGAACATGAAAATATGATTGGCAGAATCGTAGAAATGCTGGATTAAGATCGTCTAGAGGGTCGAATCGAGATTGTGATCTTTTTTCGATTATTTGTGCAGCTCTAATATACAGTAAATATACTCTCATTTTAAACACATTTGGAGTTATTGGAGTTATATAGACCTCTTTCTTGAATTCACAAAGAAACATCAAGGCGTGCCGCATGACATCACTTTGTTGCAAAGACGCTATTGGTTAAATGCTGTAGAACACGGAAGCAGCTTGAAGCGGAAATTGAGAGCATGTCTGTAGTCTGGAGATATTATAAAGCTGATGACGACAACATTGCCATAGCAAACTGTGAGATACATAAACGTTTGTATACGCATGCAAAATTTTTATATTTTCATATCATTGTCAGTATCTATTGAGAATGTATTTAACCGTCAAGAAGGTTTACAATAATGTCACACTGCACACACAATTAGGTTATCTTCTCATAATTCTGTCAGTGAGTCAGAAACAGCACTATAACTCATATCAGTGTCTGTGTTGATGTAAGGTGTGGGCTGGTGACATTCCATTCAGGTTCACCTCCCTTTCAGTGCTGCAAGTTCAACCCTTACAAACAGTACCATTTTAACAATCTTAAACACAAAATATGTAAAATTACCAGATTTCCACACCCTTGCTTCATGAATATATTAAGATATACTGGATATACAGAAAAGGTAGTATATGATATATGCTACAAAAAGAAAAAGCATGACTATTTTTTTATAAAATATTTCTGACTAAAAGTAATGCTTTGATATGTCAAGCCATTTATATTTATTTATTTGCATAATGTTAGTATATTTTCCATTAAATAAAAGTACTTATTAGATACTAGTTATTAATGTTAAGGTAATGGTTATATTTAAAATATACTATATTCGTTATGTAATGGGACTTATTTCAGTATTTTAGTATTGACTTGGTATGCTAGTTATTCATTTGGAACAAGCAAATTTTTAGATAATACTACCTTTTATTAGTTAACAGTATTAAACAGAAACAGCTTCTTTATTAGATACTGGTACTTAATGATTCAGTACTAATACACTGTAAAACTGTAAAAAGTAAAGGTAACTTAAACAGTTTGAGGGAACCGATTGCAATAGACCATTTAGGTTCAACGACTAATCCCAATGAGTACTCTTAACTTAATCCTAAACGACCATTAACCTTTTTCCTCAGAGAAAAAGCTGACAAAACATTGCCGTCACTCTGATACAAGTTTTATTTATGAAAAAAAATTACAAAGCACTGCGCTTCTTGGGTGTTCTGTGTTTGTCTGAAATAATCTTACCAAAATGTGTATTTTCCATACAAGCTGAAGCTGATTAGTCAATTATTGTCATGTGATTTGCGGGATTCAATCTAGTGGCTGCGTCTAGTCTAGAAGGTGCGAGTGCCGGTGTTGTGTCAAGAAATGCACCCCCTTCGTAGACTTTCATTAGCATTCTCAGTCTACATTAAAAAAAAAAAAAGGCCATAATTGATTAAAACGTAGGCTAATATGATTATTATTTTGATGAAGAACAAGAAGTGGAATGCATTTTAAAACTAGGTTTGCAAATAAATGAAAAATAAATATATGTAATGAGCCTTTTTCTAAAATTAGGCATTTTTGGTGGGTTTTTACCAACGAAAAACATAAAATTGTTGAAGTTTTCAACTAAACCACACATAAACTATTCACTTTAATTAATCTAATCAGTGTTGTATTGAAATTAAACATTTATTTATTTAATTAAGGTAAG